TATAGTATTCCCTAAATTAAATGAGATAAGTTATTGGCCGTTGAGACTTTTCATCTCTTACGGCTTCGTGGTCAAAATCTCTAACTAACCCCTCCAATCTGGCAATCAAAAACTTGTCATAATTCAAAAGTCAAAAAGAACACGAAACTAAACCTAATAAAATAAATTTAACCTAATCACCCTAAATGGCTCTAACAAAACAGACGCGAGGGAACTAAATGATAAGAAAAAACAGATATACTGAAAATGACAGTAAGTATATAATGTAAATTGTATATTAAAATGATGTTGTGAAAAAAAACTATTAAATGTCAAGTTTGTAATGATTATATCTAATCCGAGTTCATAAACTTCCCGCCTGAAAAAGTATGATTATATATGTTGTGGATATGCGTTTATATCATCGTCTAAATGTTATAAACCTAAACCCCTAAACTTTTTGTCACGAAAGGTTTTAAAATTTTCGTGTTTACCAAATTGAGATGGATAAACTTGATATACGAGAAACTGCAATTTTAAAAGTGAGAAGAAAAAATGTCTCAAAATTAAACTGAAAAGGGACTAAGTGATATTGGTTAATGATGTAAATTTTATATGTCGGCTTGCACGCGACGCTTACTCAGCCCACTATCCGTGAGATAGCCTCAGCAATAGCATGAACCCATGAAGTATCTTTTTATCTTCTCCCACTTCTTACTATTTATTTTTCTTATCTATTTGGTTTTTAGTTATTATATCATCCGTCATCTGCAATAGTATTGACAATAGTACATCCAAAGGAAATGTCGATACATGCTTTATCTTTACCCTTTCCATGTTGTGTAGTACACGGCTATGCAATTTGATTAACATTGTCAACATGTTTCAGGGAAACTTACGTTTTTTTGTTAATTAATTGAGAATTTACGTTATCTTTTTGTAAATTCAATTGTGTGTTTGGCTTTTCTTCTTATATGAGCTATATAGTATGTGCATTTTTAGTTATATAAACGGACATATATAAAAACTACAAACATAATGGAAACATATTATATCAATATAACAGAATAACGTTTCACAGCGTTTTACAAATATAGAATTTTTTGGACTTGATTGGTTGTTGCTGTAGATGCTGTACAAAACAATATTTATGTTTAAAGCTCTAAATCATACTAATCATACTTTATAAATTCTGTATTTTCTTTATTTGCTCACAGCCAAAATATTTCATTTTTTATTTTTTTGGCTGTATAAAACATTATTTTTTAAAACACATAAATTTATGATTTCCAAATTTTACAATTCTACAGCCAAAATTTCAAAGAAATAAAATCTACATCTACAGCAAAAAAACTTATAGCCACATTTCTACAGCAAAAACATAAAGCTACAACTATTACCAATCAAACCCTTTGTTTTTATATAAATAAATTTATTATTTTGTATAACGAAAGTGGGGTTGGTAACTTGGTATAATAATAATTGGGACAAACTGAAAAAGGAACACAAGTCACGGGAAATTTCGAAGCAACCGACCAAGCATTTTGATCGATAGTGGTGGAGTGCACGAGAGATAAAGAGAGCGAATTATTTCACTATTGTATTAACAATTAAAAGAAAAAAAAAGATCGGTTTTATACTATCCATTATTCCAAAACTCTTAGCTCGACACCTTTTTTCTGTTTTTCCTCGCAAGTCATAACAACGAGTTCCTTAAAAATTTCAAATATAAAAATCCATATTTTTTTGCATTGGAAAGTTAAGAATCGAGTTTATTTTTATCGAATTGAAATTGTGAAAAACTTTAGCAATAATTAAATAAATAAAAGATCCCAAATGAGTGGATAACTCGTAAATGGTGAATATCGGGGAATGGTGGTTGTGCCTTGCGATCCAGGTTCGTTCCTTGTAGATCCAACAATTAGAATGTTAGGCCGCATTGATTAAAAGTCAGGCTATATTATATTATTACCCATATCAAATTTGAGCCCATCTGTTTTGCTACTCCTTTACAATCATTTTCAACTATTTTCTTCATCAACTACTACAAGGAAACATCTTAGCAACTCTTCGTCTCTAATCCACTACCTTTGAATAGAGTCGAGTACCCAAGTTTGTATTCTATATATATGTATTATTTGAAAAATAATAAGAGAAAATTTTGATGATGTACTGTATGTTAGACTTTTATCTCAACCACCATGTAAATTCTGCTTAGTTGATCAAAAGCAGGTGGAGTACTTCTACACATCCACTTAGCAGATTTTTTTTTAACTTTAAAACGTAATCTAATGTTGATGACTTGTGATACACGGTAACATAGGCAACCTAACAGTTCTAGCCCTAATTCTTTAAGTTTCTCTTGCCACCGGAAGAAAGTAAAGAAGCAACAACGGTCGGGTCAATATTGCCACATCAAGAATCGTCATGTCAGCAATTTTAGTTATATCTCCCTCTTCTTCTCTAATATAATATATATAGAAAAGAAGAAAAAAAAAAACTATACAAACTAAACTGAAAAACGTACTATGGAAATATATGTTGCCATTGATATCAAATAATTTTACCCCATGCACGGATGACTTTTTACCCCCTGATCTTTTTCCTATCTATAAACCTTTTAAGATATCAAATAGTTTGTTTTTCCAATTGAACTTTAGGTACTTTTTTTTTTATCGATGGATTTTTTAATATCTTCTTTGAGTTGGTTTCAATTTTGTCCTTTTTAATATACAAAAGATTTGAATGGCAAAGATTGATTTTGCATTCAAAACAATCTGATACCTAAATATGACATGACATATGGTTTGACTCTTTATTTGACATATAGAGTAATTACTTGGTTAAAGTGGCTTTAATAAAGACTAATTAGGTGTAATTAAGGACATATCTACCTACAAAATTGTTAATTGTTAAGATCAACTTATATATTTAATAATATAGTTTTTGGAATGGCTCACTCCTATAGATAGATGTCCTACCAGTACCCTTCCAACCCAACTAACTGTAGTCTGTAGTGGACAAAGCTTATACTCCTTTGTACGGTTCCATCATATTTTTTAATTATAATTTTTGTTAATCTTGTTAAACAATTTATGCGGATGGTTTTCATTTGCTTTTGTAGATTCATCTGCAGCCGTCTAGAGTTGGGGATAGTTAATATGCTCTTACAAAAATTATTGATATTTTTTTGGAATAGTTAAAAACTTAAAATTCGATTATCATTGAGAGCATATTTGGAGACCGTTTGTAAATGGTTTGAGGCAAAATTAAACGCTTTCAGTTATCAAACAAACATGCGGATGAAACACATGGCTGAGATAAGCGGTTTAAAATGTAAATTTGTTACTATTTGTGTTAAATTATCTATTAATATGTAGATTTATATACAACCTTTATAATAACCATATATATTTACAAACAAAATCTTAAAAAGAAACTCAAACACAATAATGGAAAAAAAAACAATGAAGGTCCTATTAGGAAATGATACTTTAGTAATATATTTAGTAATTTGTCCTTATCAAAAAAAAATATATTTAGTAATTTGTCATCAGTTATAATTTTCCTATTTAGAGCAGTAAGGCATATCATATTTTTGTCAGTTGCACTCACACTCGTCGATTTAACCCCACTATTAAGATACTTGATATTTATAATCCATGAAATGATGATAAAAAGCTGAGAAAAACTATTTAATAATTTAATAAAGGCTCGACCCAACCCACATGGTCCTGTCGATTAAAAACATGACCAACTCAAAGAAGATATTAAAAATGTTACAAAAAAAAGATATTAAGAAGCTATCATCGATAAAAATGTCTTTAGTTAAAGGCTTAAAGCTAAGATGTTACAAAAAAAAAATGTTAAAGCTATATGTTAATTATAAAAAAAACAATGTCTTTAGTCTTAACGGAAACATTAAAAATGTTTATAAAAACGATAACAGATCAAATTTGTTATTTTTTATTCGTTCTCGTTTTTAATTTGACCTGATTATATATTTTGGTTGGCTATCATCTCTTTAATAAAACTTCAATAAATACTTAGGAAATTATTGGTCTTTCTATCCATTTGTTCCATCGTATTCCATCAACACATCTCGAACACCAAAAATGTAATTTCTGTTTGTTTGTATCGTCAATATATGTCCATGAATATGTGGTTATATGGTATTAAAAGTAAAGTAGCGGTTATCTGCGTTAGGTTTATCAGTAAATTGGAGAGTCCTTTTGCTATGCGTTTGTGTGTTGGTCTATGATAGACTCGTATGTGCGACTATAATTCATTAACGGCTATCTAAAACGCGTCAAAGACGGTGGAGTGGTCACTGAACTACGAGGGGATGTGCAAGTTAATGTACAAACTGTGACTTTTTATGCGTGTTATGTACGTAGTGTAGTTTTCTGTACGTTAAATGATGATTGTTTTAGCTTAAAACTAGGCGTTTTTTCGATCGTAGATGTAATCATGTGTCGTAGATGCATACATTTCTCAAGAACGCATTTCCATATCCGAGGCTCCACCATCATCGGTGATAAAAACCAGACATAAAACTTAAATAGCCGCTTATGTTGTTTATGCCATGACCAACAAACAATCAAATTTTGACTCAAATGGTACTCTAAAAGTTGGAACTTTGTTTGGGCTAGAAGTAGTAACTCATGATAATTTTTTTTCATAAGTTTATCAAAATATATGTAAATACATTTTTCTTAGTTCATTGTTAATGTTATATTTTATTTTTTATAACAACTATATTAATAAACGAATCTTATAATTAAGATTATTCTATCTGTATTATTTAGAAAAAAACTTCAATTATTATGTTATAATTAAGCTTTTAAGCATTGTTGTTTTCTCTTGTTATAGAGAGAAAGCTAATTTTAGTTTTTTAAAAAAACATAGTTATTAATGGGTATTTAAAAAAAAATCATAACAAATGTTGTAAAATAATGGCAAAAAAATAACTCCTCATTATAAATATTTGATTAATTATTTATGAGATTATTACCACTTATCATATCTTGTATACTGCCACCTCTATTTAAGCTTCTCTCTAGATCTCTTATACTTATGGTTTAATACTTAGCATTTCCTGATCAAGCTATAAACAAGTCTATTAACTAGGGTTTGATCATCAATAAAATAATCAATCAAGCCACTCATCAATCGAGAATGAGCCGAGGTGGGAGCTTTGGAGGTGGACAAAGCTCGCTAGGTTATCTTTTCGGGTCAGACAATGAGATTTCCAAAAATCTTCCACCGGCTGCCCCAAAGCCTACACCACCGTATGGCGTAGACTCCACCGACGACGATAAATCTGACCAAAAGCCTAAGATCTCTAACAACAACAACTACCACAGAGCTCAGGGCCAAAACTCCGGCAACTTCGTCACCGTAAGTCTTTATTTTAATTCTTTTTTTGCACCGTAAGTCTCTATCTTCTTCAAATTCTTTAATTCGTTAAATTCTAGATCATTTTTATGAATAGAAAAAATAAGGGTTATGATTTCAGGATCGTCCAACGACGAAGGTGAAATCGGTTCCAGGTGGAGGATCATCTCTTGGATACTTATTCGGAGATAATCAAAAGGAATGAAAAATGAAGTTACAAAACTAGGGTTTGTACCTTGCTCTTGTGAGGATCTTACCATATATAATATACAAACCCTTATCTATTCTCTACACATTACTTATTTATATATATATATATACGTACCAAATGTGTGCTTTGACTTTTGAGTTTGCAGTAAAACTTTGCAATTTGTAGAACGGTTTCTTGTCATGATTCACGAATGTCTCTATGCGTTTTCAGGTTTTTGCCATCTATATGTTGTATTGCCTTACATATCGTGATCATTTGAAGTGATTTCATCTTTAATTTCGGAAAGTGGAGCTTCTTCTCCTGCACATGGCAAAGCAAACTAACTTGCTCGTGTTTGTTTTGTTTATATATAACTGGAAAATAAATTAAGCCCAGATTAATTTCAAAGTATGCAGACAAGTGACTTTTCTTGTCATGTAAAATGTTCCACTAATTTAGAAGCAGCAGAAGAGTTGATCCGTTTTCGACCCAACAAAAGAATTTTTCACCTATTAGATCACGTACATCATTCACTAATTAGTTGATATATTGTATAAATTCATTCCACTCCAATAAATTTATAATCCGAAACTTTTAAAATTAACATTTTTAAGTTTGCTTGCCGTACATTAACCGAGAAATAAATTTCCAAAACGTTTAAAAATGTAATCGTTGTGAAGTAATCAAAGAGGTAGACCAGCAATAATCACAGTGGTACGCGGCATGAAAGACACGTGGTTTGATTAAATCCGTAATGGGTTATAGATATTTGGATCTGTTTGAAACTATAATTTAATATGGGGCAAATGAGAAATAATGAAACTATATGTTGCTATCTTATAAAATTGTATTATTTTCCCTGCGTCGCGGACCTTCTCAAAGCTTCCTCTACCACTAAAATTCTCCAACTCAAACAAATCTTCGATCGCTGAAGCAAAAGTTCTTACAACAGGAGAAATTGAGACACTCACTTCACTTTGCTCAGTTGTTGAAGTCGGTAATAATCCTGTACATCAATCTCTGAGACTGTTTGTGTTCTTCTAGCCTTAATTTCTTTGTTTTTGTTGTTAGATTTACAAAGGAGATTAAATTTCCTCTGTTGATAGATTTACAAAGAAGATTTATTTCAGTTGTATCACTTCTTATAGTCTCTTATGATTTGCATCTGACTTTCTTGCTTGATGATTTTCTAAAAACAATCGATTCTTGAAATTCTGTCCTTGGTCAGAATTTGAATTTGAGACTCGAAAACATACGTTTGTTCCTTACGTTTCGCTGTTGTGCTGTAAGAAATTAGGGTTTCTCATATGTTGCGGAGAGCTGATATTGTTACTCTCGACAATTGTTTCTCGCTTTGATGACTTTCAAGAAACAAAGTTTCGATCCATTTGCAAACAGGTCAAGCAACATAGAGATATCACATAGATCTTAATCTCATGCGGCGTTTTCCGGCTCTTGTAGACAAGCTCAAACCAATCTTCCCGGTTTCAGGATCAAATGGTAACTTGTGTATCTAAATCCTCCACAGTTTCTTGTAATATTATAGTTTATCACGAGAAGACAAATAAACTGAGTGATTGTGTTTTATGAGAAGCAGGTAAAGTGGTGAGAACCATAGTACCGAAGAAACATGGGAACGAGAACATTAGCGAAAGAGAAGCACTGAAGAAAATGGAGGAAACGGTAGAGCCAATGGTTGCCTTCAGTAGACCACCGCCATTTTCACCGTTTGTGGGTCCATTGGTCATGTATTCCCTTCTTCAGACATGGTCTAACCGTGAAGAAGACAGCTAGGTGCAGCGCTTGGACTTACACATATATCATGAGCTGATGAAGTACGCTGAAGTTTTCTTATAAAGTATCTCTTAAATCTTCTCTGATAGATAAATAACTGAGTCGTTAGCATAAACTTGTAAGATGTTTAGAGATAATGAACGTTTGATGTTGTTAATAGTAAGTAAATCGATCACTTGGTTTTGTTTTTTCATAAGGAGCTCAGTGTGTACTATGTGAGTTATATAGTTGATCACTGATCACTGATCAAATGAGTTTTGTAGTAAAGTCGTTAATATATGAGCTTAATGGGCTTGGCCAAATTTGATTCATCAAACATTGTCCTAAAGTGTATTTTTTAAAAATAAAAATAGAAGGCAATAATTTGGTAGGGAGAAAAATTATAAACCAAAAATCATGCATGTAAAGTGGAGATAAAATATGATATCCCTATGCAATAGCCCTAAATGCTGGGACCAAAGCTGTCCAACACTAATAATTAGAGAATATAGAGCAGGTTATACATCTTTTCATTATTCTTTTCAGTAATTCTGCTTTTAGGATTAAGTTATGAAGAAGACGACAGAAACAGTATCAATCAAGAATCCAAAGGAGAATGTAATGCAATATTAAATGGGGCAAAATCCCTCTCGTTGATTTGCTTAGTTCTTAATAATTGAATTTCAAAGCAAAACAAAAACAGAGAGTCCCATCGTTTTCTCATGAATATATATAGTTAGTTATGGAAAGTTTGAAATTCGATACATTTCTTTTTTTTTTACTATATCATACTTTAGAAAGTCAAACATCTATAAGATGGATTAAAACTTTTCAAAAATAATATAGCCCTACATAGGATAAAATTTTGAAAATCTTAAAATTGTAAAACGATTATAATATCTGCATTAGTAAGATTGTATTGATCATTAATGTTAAATTTATATTTATGGAGTTATGATCATCTCTTAAATGAAATATATATGATCTAGATTTCCAAATTTCTAATAATCAAATCTAAAACCCACTATCATTGAAAAGAGAACCAATTACACTGAAATTAAACAGCTATATAATAACTTCTACTAATTTTTGTTTGATATAGACTTTGATTGATAATATCCCCATTGCCGCGAGTATATACGATGAAGCCATCCAATGCAATAGCCACAACCTTTCGTTGCTGAAAACGAGCATAGAAACGACGTAGCTTTGGCTTGAAAATAAAAGATCAATGAAAGGGACACGTAGAGAGTTCCGTATGACCCACGTGGGAAGACGAGGAATATTGGGACCCACACATATTCATTCATCCGACCGGTCGTCTTTCTTACATCTACATTCTACACTAAACCTTTTTAGTTTTGCGGTAACACCAAAACATTTGAAAAATCATTTACTGTAATTTTTCAACAGTAAGATCATTAGTAAAAATAAAAAACAAACAAATAAAAGAGTTATAAAGTGGACAACAACAACCCCATTTTATTTTATTTAATAATATTTACTCCTTTTTCTGTTCTTTTATTCTATTTAATTTATTTTTTGCGTTTATGGAGTTTATAGTGGGAGAGTATTGCGTTCTCTCTCACCTTTTATCTGTCTTTCCATATCTCTCATTTCTTTCTGCCCATAGAGAAGCAAAAAAGTAAAATTCACACTGTCTATCCCTTAATTTCTCGCGTTTTCCCTCGATTTTTCAGGGTATCACATCTCATTCTCATTGATCTTTCTTTTTAAGAAAAGAAAGATCCAATTTTCTCGGTTCGTTCTCTCCTCTGAGCTACGAATCAAGTGTTAGACACACTGTTTCCCTTTCCCCGAATTTCAAACAGACCCAGATATTAGAGAGTACTAGGGTTTGTTTTCACAAATTTTGAAACTTTTTTGCTTCAATCTGAGTGTAGGGGAAAGAAAAGAAGAAATTTTTTGGATGAAAGGTAACCAGAAAGATTCGTCGGAGAAACCCATATGGGATCGGAGCTCATCGAGTACATCCATACCCGGAATGTTGTCGGTAACCCGACCCGGTCCAAAACTAATGGTTTGGCTAATCTGCTTCATCGTCTTCACTTACATTATCTACATGCTTAAGCTCGTCTCCACCTCACGCTCCTGCGACGATTCCACTCATTTCACCACCGTCTCCGCCATTTCCACCAACGCCTCAAATGTCTCCTCCTCCGTAGCTTCACGGCGGCGCGACTGGGAGGTTGAGGAGGTAGAGAAAGCAGATGCCCCCACCGATCTTAACCACGTAGTGTTCGGGATCGCTGCTTCATCGAAGCTATGGAAACAGAGGAAAGAATATATCAAGATCTGGTATAAACCGAAATACATGCGTGGCTACGTTTGGTTGGACAAAGAGGTGAAGAAGAGCAGCAACAACAGCGACGAAGAAGAAGACGACGACGACGATCTTCTTCTTCCGCCGGTAAAAATCTCCGGCGGAACCGCGTCTTTCCCTTACACGAACAAGCAGGGGCAACGCTCGGCGTTACGGATCTCGAGGATCGTGTCGGAGACGCTGCGTTTGGGTCCGAAGAACGTGAGGTGGTTCGTGATGGGTGATGACGACACGGTGTTCGTCACGGATAATCTCATCAGGGTGCTGAGGAAGTACGACCACGAACAGATGTATTACATCGGGAGCTTGTCGGAATCTCATCTACAGAACATTTTTTTCTCGTACGGGATGGCTTACGGTGGAGGAGGGTTTGCTATAAGCTATCCATTGGCTAAGGCTTTGAGCAAGATGCAAGATCGGTGTATTCAGAGATATCCGGCATTGTATGGTTCCGACGATCGCATGCAAGCTTGTATGGCCGAACTCGGTGTTCCACTCACTAAAGAACTCGGCTTCCACCAGGTAAGGGAATTTTCACCGGAGAATTTCAGTGAGATTTGTTTAATTCGGGCAAAATTTGGTAGTAATTGTGCTAGTGTTGTTGGATTGTTGCCATTTCTCATAAAGATGGAATTAGAGATTCTTGAGAAGTTACTAAAATGGGGAATTAATGAAGTTGAGTCTGAACTTAAATTTGATGGCGATGCTTGGTGTGTTTTTTTTTGTTTAGTGTAGAGCAACTTTAGTGGCAAAATTAGCGTTTTCTTAATGATTTTGTGACATTGATGTTGTAATTATTGATCTTAACATTCAATGAGTTTCGATTAAAATTAGTTAACTAACTTGCAAATGGAATCTTCTTAACAAAGTTTAGGCTTTTAGACTGTTAGAAAGAGTTGAAAGACTAGTTTAAGGCAATGGCTTTACTACTAGACTTTCAAAGTTTGAACCTCCAATGTTTTAATGTTCTTTTAAGAAAGTTTTTTGTTATAATCTCAGGATGGTTAAAGTTTTTAGTTTCGTTTCTTTGTTCTACTGCTGTTTTGCTTCGATGCTATTTTGGCAAAATTTTCCGTGGTTTGGTACCGACATATCGGCGCGTGAGTAGCTTAATGTCGTCCATTAGCTTAGTTAGAATGTTTAAATACAGGTGTAAGAGTGGGACCCGCAGCTTTGTTTTCACACTTAAATGACTTGTTCCTCTCATCATTTCCATACTCGCATCTATGTCGCGTGCAATTCACGCTCCATTGTAACATCTTTTGTTTTTGTTGTTGTTGTTGTTACGTTTCAGTACGACGTTTACGGGAACCTCTTCGGCCTCCTCGCCGCACACCCAGTAACACCGTTCGTCTCAATGCACCACCTCGACGTGGTGGAACCGATATTCCCGAACATGACACGTGTCCGCGCCCTGAAGAAGCTAACCGTACCGATAAAGCTCGACTCGGCCGGGGTTCTCCAGCAGTCTATATGCTACGACAAGCACAAGAGCTGGACGATCTCGGTCTCGTGGGGCTACGCCGTACAAATATTCCGGGGAATATTTTCTCCGCGGGAAATGGAAATGCCTTCAAGAACCTTCTTGAATTGGTACAAAAAGGCGGATTACACCGCTTACGCCTTCAACACCAGGCCGGTTAGCCGTAACCCGTGCCAGAAACCGTTTGTGTTTTACATGTCGAGCACGAAATTCGACACGCAGCTGAACACGACGGTCAGCGAATACTCGAGACACCGTGTTTCGCATCCGTCTTGCCGGTGGAAGATGACGAACCCTGCTGAGATTAACACCATCGTCGTCTACAAAAAACCGGACCCTCATCTATGGGAAAGAGTGAGTAACATAGTTTCATTTTCAGCATTATGATTACAAAGTGAGAATAATGTGTGATGTACTTGATGGTTCTTGTGTTTTGTACAGTCACCTAGGAGGAACTGTTGCAGAGTATTACAGACGAAGAGGAATAATACGCTATGGATCAATGTTGGTGTATGTAGAGGAGGTGAAGTCACTGAAGTTAAGTGAATTTTTTTTATATAGTTTTATTTTTTGTAATAATTTTATTTTTGAAAGGGAAGGAAAATTAGAATTAGGCTGTTTTTTTTACCCCTCGTAATTTTTGCCACGTTATTAAAATTTTATTCATTGAGATCCCGTCCTAGTTCTTCTTTCAGTGTATGATGATAGGTTCGTAAGAAATGCGATATTCCTCAAATGCAATTTTATCAATTAGAATTAGAGATTGAATATAGATATATAAGATTAGCGCTCAGAATTTAGTAAACACTACAAAAGCTACAAGTCTTAAGTATCAGAACTTTCTTAACCACACCCCTTTTTCCAGAACAATATATTACTCCTGTGTATACTCGTAATTGATTGGACTCTGTACTCTTGAAAAACAAAAAGATGATTCAAAAGGAAAGAAAAAATTCATCAAATATCTCAGTCCAAGAGGGACGTCTCAGATAACAACAAAGACAACATTTGAGGTCAAATCTTATAGAAACAATGACCGGGAACGTTCAACGCATAGAGCATAATATCACACAGCATGAAAGTGAATAGAGAGATGAAATAAAATCTTCCAAGTCGGAAGAGAAACCACGCAAACAGTATGATTAATTACTTAGGGTAAGCCGGAGGAGGATAAGCACCGGGAGGGTACTGAGAATAAGCTGGAGGGTTCTGAGGATAGCCAGAAGGTGGATAACCTTGTGGAGGGTGTTGAGGATAACCTTGTGGAGGGTGTGGAGGATAACCTTGTGGAGGGTGTTGAGGATAACCTTGTGGAGGATAACCGATTGCTGGTGGAGTGGCTTGATCGAACCGTGACATTTGCTGAGGAGGAGGCACTGCCATTGGTTGTGGACCGAACTTACCGTCTCTCTTGTCCATTTCCACCTTGTGTTGTGTCTACATGAAGCATTACACAAGTAGCAAAGTTTTATCAGCAAGACTGTAATATTAGTTTTTTTTGGTTATGTGAGACTGAAATGGGTTGATATCATCAATTTACCTGCATACACGCGCAAACCCTGCAGATGAAGCAAAAGTGACGATAGGTTAACTTCGGGTTTTGATTTAAAGTAGTTTAAGAACGAAACTACAGATGGGAGGTCTTACGTGCAGTACACCATGTCGGATAAACAAGTGAGCAACTGAGAAGCTTCTGAAAGCTCATCAATGCCTACGATACATGCAACAATGGAGAATATGCAAGCTACTTGGCTGAGGCAAACCATAAAGCCCTACACAGCCAACAATACAGTATAGATTACGACACTTGTTTTTCATGTTTCATAGTCTTGTTTGATTCTATACTAATAGCCAGTGAGTCTTAAAAAACTGGCGTAAATTTGGGCAATGAGCATACTTACAATGATGCAGTTGTCACATTGTGTCGTCTGGATTTGGAACTCATCTTGCAGAAGAAAACGAGTCGATGCCACAGAGGTTCCAAAGCAGAAAAAGACCTGCAATTGTTTTGCTATTTAGAAAACTTCATTGGAGTTGACTCATAAGCCATAAAAAAGCCATGACTGAGATTGTTGTACGCTTATGTTACAGGAAGTATTCAGATGCTGAAATGAACGTTCTAATATGACTGAAGTTATAAAAAAAGGCTTCATTGTAATTAGCAAAATGAAGACCCTTACCTCAGTGGCAAGACAAAATTGAGGACATTTGGTTTCTCCACACTTGCCACTACAAGGCATGTAACCGGCGCAGCATGTGTACCTATGAGACAAAAAAGTATCTTTTTTTTTAACCTAAGAAGATCGAATTTTGAATGAATATACTTGAATGTGTGGAGATACCTTGACATGTCATTGTAAAGCGCACGCTTTCGGAGCAAGTATGATGCACAAGGGGCACTGTAAGGAGAAGAACACAGCGCATTTTACATGTGTATGGAACAAAGCAGACACCAAAAGAGATACAAATCACAAAATGTCAAACTCCTACTACATCATACACATTCTGAGCAAATACTTATGATCAGAGAAACTCTTATTATTTGTTAAATTCAGAATCACTCCAGAAACTGGTGATCTAAGAATGTAATTCCGAAAGTTTGTTTCAAGTCAAATCTTAGTCAATTCAAACAGACAGGATCTACAACTCGAATTGTTCATCAAATTCCACAATAAAGAGAGAGCAAGCGACGAAAAAAATCTCAGAACGAGCAGAAAACTTACCACCACAACGCGAAGCAGCAATCTGCGAACAACAATAACAGAGAAATTGTTCGATCAATCCCCAAAAAAACCGATCAATCAAAAATTTCAAAGAGAAAGAGAGAGTTTGAGAAATTACAGGGAGTATCGCCCTGGATGCTGTGCGTGAGATCCGTATGCCAGACGTTGCGAAAGTTCTGGCGTTGTTGCATCGTCTCCGTGTCGAATTTCGGCGCCATTTTTTTCGCACGGATCTGATTCGATGACGACGTGAGTCAATCTAGAGAGGAAAAACTCTACCGCGAGAAGCGATAAGGATCAGAGACTCGAAAAGTCTTCGAGAATCTGATCAAAGCTTTTTCCCTCACAAACGTGTTTCTAACTTCATCCCTCTTAAGTAATAGGATAATTACTTCCGTTTTTGCTCATTCCTCTTCCCTGATGGCAACTGGCGTTGACTAGACGAAGTTATGAGGCATTTCGAGAAATATCAGTAGTATTAGGGCCAAATTGAAATTAACTTTAATTAAAAACCGACCTATTTACTTTCATTAATTATGAAATCATCCAGACCGGGAAACTGAATGGTCAACATACAAACGAAGTGAGCTAAAATCACCAAAAGGCCTGTGGAAGAATCGGCGTGTAAAATAAAAAAAGAACTCCATCGTTTCTGCAAATTTCGTCTCTCTGTCACACTCATCGTCTTCGGAGAAGAAGTGTCGAGGTCGGAGAAAGGAGAAATGAGCGGCCATGATTCCAAATACTTTTCGACAACGAAGAAGGGAGAGATCCCTGAGCTCAAGGAAGAGCTGAATTCACAATACAAGGTCCTTCTTCCCTCCATTTAATTCATATATGGTTTGCTGTATGGATCTGTGATCCGCCATTCTAACGATTGTGATCTCCTCTCAGTGATTCGTTTAATTTCTAGTAATTGTTTTCTAGTAGATCTGTATGATTATGCGTTCGAATTGATCGGTTGAATTTGTTGCTGTTTAATGGAGATTGGTTTTGGTAGTACTTGAAAGTTACGGTAATGTGCTCGATGGTTGATTTCAAAATAGCTAGAAATGGAAGAGAATTCAGAAAAATTACTAATGTCTGGATCATATGTATTGTATCTGGATGAGTGCGTTTTGTTGGAAGATCAGTGATTGTTGATCAAACTCTCATCTTCTTCGTGCAAGTTTAATGTCTTTGAAATCTTCAAATTTCCCGGTTGTGCCTACTGAATGAGAGATAGACGCTGTTCTTCTTTGTATATATATATCTGTTCCAGATGGATTTCAGTTGAAATGGTAAAAAATTCTTATGTAAGGGCAAGTCTATGATGTGCACATTCCGTTTTTTTTTTTTTTTTTTTTTTTTTCAGTCTTGGCATCTACAAGTATGAAGCTTTCGATATAATGTGTAGCAAAAGTGTACAGTTTTATAAGATGACAATGGTACTGATTCAAGACGGTGGCATGTGTTTCTGATTTTGCTTTCAGTTTCCTAACCTTTTTTTTTATTTTTTTCTCTTTTATGTTCGTAGGATAAGAGGAAAGATGCTGTTAAGAAGGTTATCGCGGCAATGACTGTTGGAAAGGATGTTTCGTCACTTTTCACTGATGTAGTCAATTGCATGCAAACGGAGAATCTGGAGCTGAAGAAGCTTGTTTACTTGTATTTGATAAACTATGCAAAAAGCCAGCCAGATCTTGCTATCCTTGCAGTAAATACTTTTGTGAAGGTAACGCTTTAGCTAGTTTCATATAGTCTGACTAATTGTTTTGTGAAGGTACCACTTTAGCTAGCTCAAACTGAAAGACCTGTGATTTGTGGCATGTATCTTTGTCTTTCTCTAATTTTGAAACAAGAACAGAGAAAGAAGAAACTCATCATTATATAACTCCCACTTTTTAATTCGGCAGGATTCACAAGACCCAAATCCGTTGATCCGTGCTTTGGCTGTGCGGACAATGGGCTGCATTCGTGTTGATAAGATCACAGAATATCTGTGTGATCCTCTTCAGAAGTGCCTAAAGGTTGAGTATTTTTATGCTACATTGCCACTGGAACTTGTATCAACATCTTTGTGTCCCTTAAGAAATTTTTTTTATCCTGACTGATGAATTATATCTGGCCTTTTGCAATTTTCCTTTTCTCAGGATGATGATCCATATGTCCGCAAGACAGCAGCTGTGTGTGTTGCTAAACTGTTTGACATAAATGCTGAATTAGTTGAGGATAGGGGTTTCCTTGAAGCCTTGAAGGATTTAATATCAGACAATAATCCAATGGTTGTGGCAAATGCTGTAGCCGCCCTTGCAGAGATACAAGAGAATAGTACTAGTCCCGTCTTTGAAATCAACAGTACCACCCTCACAAAGCTCCTCACAGCTTTGAATGAATGTACTGAGTAAGTCTTTCCTGAATTCCGTATCCTACTTCCACTCTGATTGTGTCTGATCGACACTTTGTAGTCAGATCATTGTTGGCGTTTGTTTTCGGAAGAACATAGGTTGACCTAGATATTCACAGTAGGGTAATCTATTTCGAGTTGCGAAATGATTTGCTTCTTGTGTTAGGATGTCTATGTTGTTATTCAAATATTTTATTTGTTGATAAAGACTCATGATTTTGAACTTTGGGGAAAGGGGTCCATAAATGACTATATTTTCCTTGCTTGTTCGCTGGATGCATATTTATAGTATTTAATCTTAATAACTCTGTCTATGTTCTTCACAGATGGGGTCAAGTATTTATATTAGATGCTTTGTCGAGGTATAAAGCAGCTGATCCTCGTGAAGCTGAAAATATTGTTGAGAGAGTCACTCCTAGGTTGCAACATGCCAACTGCGCTGTTGTGCTTTCAGCTGTTAAGGTGACACTGTCGAAAGAAATCATATCTCTTCGTCAGTCAAACTTGTCTGTGAAGTGCCAACTATATGCATTTGCATAGTTTTCTAATGTTATTGCTCTTTTGTTGGTTTTCTCTACGAGCTTTCCAGATGATCCTTCAGCAGATGGAGCTTATTACTAGTACAGATGTGATTCGAAATCTTTGCAAAAAGATGGCTCCTCCCCTAGTTACATTGCTTTCTGCAGAACCCGAGATACAATATGTTGCACTTCGTAACATTAACCTTATTGTCCAAAAAAGACCCACTATTCTTGCCCATGAAATCAAGGTAGCTTGATCCTGTCTCGTAGACTCTCAGAATGAGCAATGGATATATTCTTGTATTTATTGATAATGCTTCATGTTTTTCTTTTAGGTGTTCTTTTGCAAGTATAATGATCCGATTTATGTCAAGATGGAAAAATTGGAGATTATGATAAAACTTGCTTCTGATAGAAACATAGACCAGGTAATCCATGCTACACTTGTATCATCTGCTGTTTGATCATGTTATTTTTGTTTTGGTGAATATGACGATGGTTTCTGGAACATGCCAGGTTCTTCTGGAGTTCAAAGAGTATGCCACTGAAGTAGATGTTGATTTTGTTCGGAAAGCTGTTCGTGCAATAGGCCGATGTGCCATCAAACTAGAAAGAGCAGCTGAACGGTGCATCAGTGTTTTACTTGAGCTGATCAAAATCAAAGTGAACTATGTTGTTCAGGAGGCTATTATTGTCATCAAAGATATCTTTAGAAGATATCCAAACACGTAAGTTGATATATTTCAATTTTCTTTGTTGTGGCATCTTGAAGTTACGTAATTCTCTTTAATCTTGTCTATGTCATTCAATACAACTTACAGGTATGAATCCATAATTGCAACACTCTGTGAGAGTCTAGACACATTGGATGAACCAGAAGCTAAGGTAGTAAAAAAATTGTTTGCGTGGTGTAAAATAGCTGGAAGCTTTCCCATCCGAGTTAAATCTTAAATCAGTGAAACTCATACTCGTGCGTTTGTTGGCATCTTAAAAGGCATCTATGATTTGGATCATTGGTGAATATGCTGAAAGAATAGACAATGCGGATGAACTTCTTGAAAGCTTCCTGGAGAGTTTCCCTGAGGAGCCAGCACAGGTCCAGCTGCAGCTTCTAACAGCTACAGTCAAACTATTTCTGAAGAAGCCAACCGAAGGCCCACAACAAATGATTCAGGTTTTCCCATGACCATTATGAAGCGCACCTTTTGCTCTCCTAATCGATTCAAGCGCATGAATATGACAAAAGGCCTGTCTTTTGCCATTTATCAAATTTTCAGGTTGTCTTGAATAATGCTACTGTGGAGACAGATAATCCTGATCTCAGAGATCGTGCATACATCTACTGGCGTCTTCTATCTACTGATCCCGAGGTATGATTCCGTTGACATGTTAATACCACTCAACTAGTTCAAGTACATTGGACAATGAGCAACAATCATCTTCTTTTTACCTACAATCACCAGTGCACTTCTTTTGACTAGGCGGCCAAGGATGTTGTTTTAGCTGAAAAGCCTGTGATTACGGATGACTCAAACCAACTTGACCCGTCACTCCTGGATGAGCTGCTTGCAAATATTTCCACCTTGTCCTCTGTGTATCACAAGCCCCCAGAGGCTTTTGTAACCCGCTTGAAAATCACAGTTCAGAAAACGGAAGATGAGGACTATGTGGAAGTGAGCGAAACAGGATATTCTGGTAATCCAGCTGAAGGTGCAGCATCCCCTTCAGGCACCACAGGTTATGTCCCACAGCCAGCTCCTGCAGCGGCTGCCTCAGATCCTGTGCCCGATCTGCTAGGTGACCTAATGGGGTCAGATAATGCTGCAATTGTCCCTGTAGATGAACCCACAACTCCTTCAGGGTGAGTTTGGCTGTAATAGTGAAAATTTTCTATTGCATTAAAAATCTCTAATAGGTTGCGATGGACTGGTTTTATTACAGCCATGTCTATTTGGATCACCTTGTCGTAAATGAAACTCATCGTTTCGTCTCATATTGATCGCAGTCGTCCACTGCCTATTGTCCTGCCAGCATCAAGCGGCCAAGGCCTGCAGATTAGTGCTCAATTAACCAGACAAGACGGTCAAGTATTCTACAGTATGCTCCTGGAGAACAACTCGCAGTCGCTTCTTGATGGCTTCATGATTCAGTTCAACAAAAACTCATTCGGCCTTGCAGCCGTAGGACCTCTGCAGGTGACAGACGTTGAATATGCTATTACAATCCGCGCTTATATTATCATGGACTCTTGAAACTGATGTCTTAACTATTTTTAGGTTCCGCCTCTGCAACCCGGAGCATCCGCGAGGACAATGTTGCTGATGGAACTGTTCCAGAACATGTCTGTTGGGCCCACCAGCTCGCTTTTGCAAGTTGCTGTCAAAAACAACCAGCAGCCTGTCTGGTACTTCACCGATAAGATCGTACTCCACGCTCTTTTCTCAGAAGATGGTAGGATGGAACGTGGAACCTTCCTCGAGGTAAAAAAGACTATATAATATATGATACACACAGTTCATTAACAACACCACATCAACATGTTAGTCGTTGAGTAAAAGTGGAAAAAAGGAAGATATTGATTCCTTATCGGAAAAATTGCTGACTATATATAATATAACATTGTTTTCCGATTAGACATGGAGGTCATTACCGGATTCGAACGAGGTCCAGAAGGAATTCGCCGGGATAACCATCACGAGCGTCGAATCAACGCTCGACTTGCTCGCAGCATCAAACATGTTCTTCATAGCAAAGCGTAAGAACGGAAACCAAGACGTGCTGTATCTATCAGCCAAAGTCCCGAGAGGCGTACCGTTCTTGATCGAACTAACGGCCATGGTTGGTCAACCTGGTCTGAAATGTGCGGTCAAGACTCCAACCCCTGAGATCGCTCCTCTCTTCTTTGAAGCCGTCGAGATTCTCTTCAAGCCTTGATTTTGAATTTTTTTTTTTTTTTCACAATGACAAAAAGGTAACCAAATGATTCCAATTTATATCATTCTTTTAGTGTATGTATGTAGTAAAGTGACTGCTCTTTCTTTTTTGTTTTTTGTTTTCCCTCGCTTTGGTGTCTCTATTGTCACCGTTTGTTTCTAATCTTTGTATTTGGACCCACTCCGTTTTGATGATGACTTGTTATCAGCAAATTCTGTTTTAGTGTTTATTGACCGACATGATATCAAAAAGGTTCCCCAAGTGGAGCAAAGATATTCGTACACGTAAACTGATGTTAGCGTTTGAAAAATTTCGGTACTTTCTTCACAACAAATATTCGTAGATGGGATGCATATAAGAAACCGCGGGCTGGACACGTTATGATTGCCGACGTAACGTATCTTTGTTCGAATCATGGTTTTTTTTCTGTAACATGCGTTTTCAAATTACAAGTTACAACATATAGCTTTATTGAAACTAATCTTCTTGATATTGTTGATCTGAGAGAAGGATTTAGAGATCTAAGTTAGCTCAAATGCAAGAAACATATTGTTTATATAATTATACTTTTAAACTTGAGGAAGTAGTAGCGTGAGATTGAAGTAATGCCACCAAATAGGTTTAGTCAGGCGCTATATACACCATCACATAAAAAGGACTAATATAAGACGTCTATAAATTTTTACTCTTACATAATATTGACTAAGTTGTTTTGTTTTATGTATATATAGCGTAACATCTAGATTATTGAAAACTTCGTTTCATAAAACTACTCTAATTAGTTTTAACCGATGAAACCCGTTTTTGAGGAGTATGCCTTTATTTTTTCTACGAAACGATAGATACTGTAGTTCAATACTACGGGATCCACTCTTTAGAATACACAATTTTATCGAACAAATATGTCACAAATAGAATAATTATGCTCTGACCCCACCAAGATATTATATAAATCCTGGAGTTTCCTTGTACGATATGGTTTGTGAATTTCATGAATATAAAAACAAAAGTTTGATTAACAACCAAAATAACTATTAAATTATATTTTGATTTGATTTCATCGCTGATAAAGTCGCCTCTCTCGTCGCAGCCAGTCTTCTTCTCCCTCTCTCGCTTTTCAGATAAAATTCTCTCTGATTTCTTATTCAACACAAAACCTCAAGAGCTTCCCAGGAATCCTAACAAAAGTACGGATTTTTAAGGAAAAAATCAAAGCTGTCCTTTTTTCTCTGTGTTTAGGTAATTCATCATCTTTCTTATTTCTTCTCCTCCGTTACAAAAACAGTACCTTTAACTTTGTTTCGTAGGATCACGAACTTTGTTACTCGCTTCTTCCTTTCTCTATTGGTTTAAGATAAAAGGCCTAAAGGGTTTTTCTTTTTGCTTTAACCCACTTGTTTAGTTTCTCTGGCTCTATTTTTGATTTCTCTGTTTTGTGTTGTTTGTCTATTAGGGTTTGGGTTTGACTTTGCTAATAGTATCTCTGTTGTAGTAAACCTAATTGAGGGTTTTTCAGTACTTTTGTGTTGAATCAAGCTATTTTTTTTTTTTTTTTTTGTAAGCTCAAGATGTTCTTAGAGGATCATATGATTTTTCCATGACTAAAACATGAAATTATAATACCTTGTTAATTTTTATTGGTTAATGAAATTTGAGTTTTCTTATATACTGTATTTGGTCTGAAAATTTCAGGTCTTTTTGTAACCCAAAGAGCTGGAATACACTGATCTCTGAGAGCTGTCTGAAAACTTGGTTTAACTGTCCAAAGAATGGCTTGCTGCTGCTGTTGTTTCCCGAGTATACCTGAAGTAAAGCTTCTTTCTACATTCTACAAAATGTTGTTTCTGGTTTTCTTTTCTTCTCTTTTATGCTTTTATTGTTTTCTGCAGAGCTCAAGAACTATAGATGAGCATGTTCCTTTATCTCTTGCCCCACGTTCCTCCGTGGTTTACTCTGCACCGCTTCAGCCGCCTATTCCTATAGAATTTTCGCCAAGAAATCTTCAAACTCCATCGAAATTGCCTATAACTCAGAGCAATTCGAGTGAAGGAGCTCGTGGAGTCGCACACGCCGTCCCGGAGAAGGAGACATGGTCTGTTGGTGACCTAACTGATACTGATCTAAAGAAGAAGGATCGAGAAACCATCGACGAGTGTCCTATTTGCTTAGAAGGTACTTTGTTTATCACTAAAGATATAACTTTTTTGTAAAAATATCTTTACTAACTTCTCTTGGTTTCTTTGTTTTGCAGAGTATGAGACAGAGAACCCGAAATTGCTCACGAAATGTGGCCACGACTTTCATCTCGCCTGCATTCTTGAATGGATGGAAAGAAGTGAGGCTTGTCCAGTTTGTGACAGGGTTCGTGTCAGTTAATATAAACTTGTGTTTTTTTCACAAACGTTTTCGACTTCCCGAGTCACTTAAGCGAGTACTTTTCTTTTGTTGTTTGTGCAGGAATTGGTACTCAGTGAATCATAATGACAAAAAAAGAAGAACAATAAGAAAAGTACAGAAGATTTGATTAAACTGGCATTTAGGTGTTAGTCTGGTAATGTGATGAACATTGTTAACTCTACTTCATTCATAAGCTTGAGTTCCTTGTGAATTGTTTAACTTGTTCTTACCAATATTTTGATTATTTTATATCAAGACACAAGATACAGAAGAAGAAATTAGGATCTTAGACAGAATTTATATTTGATTGTTTGATATACTTTCAAAAACTCTATATTCACCATTTGTTTCTCAGTCTGAATAAATTAGAGGAAAAGTTAGAAGAAGAGCCCGAAAACTTCAGAGATTTTACTGTGTAAAAAGAAGATTTCTCTGACAAATTTCTTACATAACAGTTTTTTATTACTAAACCCTCTGTATAAATCTAACTTTTTAACTTTTACAACAAGATAGCCCTAAAACCCCTCTCTATTACGGTGATCTGTTATGAATAAAAGTCTCGTTAACTTGCTTAATGTCTCTCGAGCCGACACAGTCCCAGGATGATCCTCTCCTGAGATTGAGGTCCTTATGAAGATTGCTTTTCTGATCAGATCATCAGCCAAACCAAACTGCCCTCCACGTATCATCAGCTTAGCTCGAGTCTCTAGCACAGTGGCTCGAGCCAGAGCAAGTTCTTCCCATAGAACAGGGTTTAGCTGTGCGCTTGTCTGAACCGGTCTCCAGCAAAGGGACTTGTCTAGCCACTTCTCCACCGGCGTCACCAGCGTTTGGCCAGCCGCTTCAAGAGCGTTTGTGCAGACCCTGAGCAGCTCCACTGCGGCGCTGCACCGCGAAAACGTTATGAAAGTTCTGATCGCCAGAGGCAAGATTACTTGCTTCACAAGAATCAGCAGCTCTGTTATCTTCAGCTGAAGAGTCGGAGCCTCGTTGCTGAATCCAAACAGCAAGAAACAAACCGCCCATATCTGCTCCGCGGTTTCAACGGTCGAGCCGCGGCTTATCACCGCTTGTACCATCGCAGGAGCGTTCTCGTTCACCAGTACCCGCTTCCTTGCGTAGAGCTTCACGAGCTCGTGGATCTGTATAAACCCTATCTTTATGCTGCTGGTTCGAGCAATGTTGAACCTAAGCAGCATCGAAGCGGCTTCAGCTCCTGATCTCTTGGAGTTCGAAGACGCGAAACCGCAGGTTATAGCGCGTCTCAGCCTACTCCACAGCCGTTTCGGACCTCTGTGTTTCTCAGGAAGCTTATAAGCAGCCGAGGCCAACAGAGAAGCCGGAACCGGAGCCGGAGCTAACCACCCGCTCGCAACAACCATTCTCGTAGCCAAACTTCTCCGTCCATCGGCGTGATCAAAGATGGAAAAACACACTTCAAACAGCTGCAAAAGAAACGCGCTTCTCCTCAACAAGCTCCCGTCACGGCCACTACATGACGTTTCTCTCAACGGCATTCTGTTTATGGTATCCAAAAGCCGGCTAGGATTTATCGGAAGCTCTGACAATATCGCTCCCACGACGGCTAATCCAAGCGTTAACCTCCCGAGTTTCTCCTCAATCGCTCTCAACGCGTCCATTTCCGGAACCGGATAGTCTTTGACGCTCCCCTGCATCAACGACATAGCTTCAGCGCCAGAGAGATAAGAGAGTTTCATCGGCTCCATGTTCATAACTCGAGAGAGACGAGTAGATATCAAGATGTGTGTCCCTCCACCAAACCGAGGAAGAAGATCCATCACAAGCTTCGAATCCCACCAGTCTTTTTCGCTCTCCAAGTTATCGATCACAACCAAGAACGGTATGTTCCTCATCAGCTCTTTCCTGATCCTGGAAATCGCAGCGTCTTCTTGCTCCTCGAAGCTCTTCATCCGAGTTTTATCAGAACTATTCTCTACACCGACGTCTACTTCCAAGTACTGATAAAGATTCAGGTAGTTCTGTCTGATGTAACGGCTCTCACCGCCTATCCAAAGAACCATCTTGTACCTCTGGTGATGCCTGTAAGCAAACTCAAGAAGCAGCTCTGTTTTTCCAATCCCGGATTCACCGGAGACGCAAGCCACGCCTTTCCCGTAAACAACCTTCATAGACCGCTTCCTCCTCGTGCTCCTCCCTACCTTCACCTGGTTCCTCGATGGTAGATCAGTGCTCTGCATCTCTATCTCCTTCTCCGACTCTTTCCACACAACTTTCTCTTTCCCTTTCTTCCTCCTCTCTTCCGCTGAACCGCTTTTGTTCCAGCCAAGCGTCACATTCTTCTTCCTCCTCGTCGTCGGTCTTGCCTTTAACTCAAAGTAATCCCTTTCAGAATCTCCAGCAACATCTCCGAACAAAATAAACTCAAGCTCAGATAACTCCTTCGTCCTCCCAACGAAACTCTCGTTCCTCGGATACGGAAACTCCTCCTTCTCCGCTTTATCCCGCCATTTCGTCAACCGTTCAACTATACTTCTCCTCCCTAACCTCATCGCCAATAACGTAACCGCCCTGAACACACAGTCTCTCCAGTTACCTTCATGAGCTTCGAGCTTCCAATCATCAACACGAGATAACCCGTGAACCGCCTCTTTCCACTCTTTCTCAATCCCTCCGTACAAATCCCAAAGCTCTCCTCCGTGTTTCTCCCACAAAACTCCTCTCTTTTCGACTATATCTCTCACGAGACAGTCCCCTGGAGAAAGGTCGAAGAAAACCGGAACCAGATTCTTCTTGTTCGCGAAAAACCGTAGCTCCTCGATCGTGTAAGGGTTCTTGAACGCCTTCCTCGTTAGGATTATAACACCGAAGGAAGCACCGTCCATGGCTCTCTCGACTATCCTCTGTGTCTTGGAACTCCTGCACCTTCCTCTGTCCGACATGAAACAACTCATCCCTTGAAACTCCAGCTCAGCTCTGAGCCAATCAGCAAACCGAAGCAGAGAAGGCTTCTGACCGTGCAGTCCTAAGAAGACATCGCAACATCTCACCCTGTTGTAAGAGACAGAGACCGAAGATGTCTGAGTATACGAAGACGAACCGTGACCTCTTCCATATCTAGAAGGTGTGTAGGAGACCACACTACTCGAAGCGATTCGTTCAGCCTCGACGTTCTGAGACTGAGGAGGTGCGGCTGAAAATCCGAGCTCGGGTGGTTCTTGAAAGCCTGAGCTGGAGCTAAGAGGGTCGAAGCTGTCACAGCGAGCATCGGAGCGAGTTGATTCGGAGAGTTCTTGTTGGGTTTTGGGAGATCTTGGAGAGAAAAACGGAGACTGGTTAGCTGAGAAGAAAGCAGCTGATGAAGATGAAGACATGTTCCTAGAGGGCTTTGTCGGGTATTGCCCGAACCTGGAGCTGTCACCTCGCGAATCCATGACCAAGATTTGCTCTTTATTGACAATCTATCAAATCCCATAAATGCAGCTTATGTTTCCATAGAAGCCAATCTGATAAAGGAAACAAAAAAAAGTCAAACAGCTGAAAAAGATGGAAGATTTTGGATTTTGGATTTCACAATGAGGCTATAAAGATGCAAGATTTGGAACAGACAAGAACCCTAGAAAGGAAAGCTTACAGCTTCATAGCAATTTCGCGGATAAATTTGGTAAAAAATGAAAATTAAGCGGCGATGAAATCTCCACAGTATATAGTTATATATACCATAAGCTTTTTTTGTTTTGAAATCTTGACATTGGTGAATAGTTACAGGTTGGTTTCACACATAACACTTCCCAAAAGTAAAATAAGGAGAAATCATCATGAGATATTCTTCTTTTAAGGAAAATAATTGATTTGAGGACGTTGCAGATCTAAGCAGAAAGGGAAATAAAATAATCATTTTTAAATTTTACTGAAAATGAAAATTTTCTGATATTTTTTTCTTCATTTTCGTACACAGGGATTCAGATCTGAAAAACTTACACAGCTCGGCGTATGTGAATGTGTTAATAAACCATCAACAAGAACATCTTGAGCTCTTTCTATTCGAGAATCAATTAAACCCAGAAGAATGATGAACCCTAAAAAACCGAATTTTTTCCTGATTTTGGAAATGAAGAATGCGAGAATTCACTGGAATCTCTACGGTTTGATTGAAAGCCCACCTGAAGAAGGGGAAGCCAAGCTCGTGTTAAAAACAAAAAAAAATCCTTGAAGAAGAGAGACTATTAATCAATGAGAAAGGAGTTGATAGTGAGAGATAGAAAGGTTTAAAAGAGAGAATAAGAAGACGAATAACACTAGAGCTTTCATAGAGTAGTCGAATGCATCGCCATTTACAGATAGACTTTGAAAAAGACTTAAATTTTGTGTTTTAAAAAAAGAAATGAAAAAACAGGGGAGACAAAAGTTGAGATATTTTTAATGGAATATTCAATAGAAAAATGGAGTTTTGATCAAAACCCAGAAGAGAACAAGAAATGTTTCTTAAGACCCAGAAGAGGAAACATCAAACAAGCGTGGGATTTTGGAGACTTTTGAACAATTTACCGCGAGAGGAGGAAAAAAAAAAAGAAAAGGAATTGGAGAGAGAGGCTTACCGTTTGAGTTTGAAGCACTGAGTCTGATAATAGTAAGTTTTTTTTCGAATATGTAGAGAAAGTAATTTTTAGAGGTCCTTATCCGAAAAACAGAAACATGGGCACTGTCAAATCACAAAAAAGAAAACACACAGAATCACACATAAACACAAAGCCTCTCTCTTTTTTACCTGGATGTCTCTCTCTCTCTCTCTACTTCAGAGATTTGCTTCTATTCTCTTAAAATATTTTTCAAAAGGAAGAAGAGAAGAGACAGAGATTGGGAGAAGTGAAAATTTCGAATTAAAATATTATATGTTTTTTTTTTAAAAAGGAAGAATTGATGATGAGGTCTAAACGAAAGAGAGATCAAGCCTAGGTATGGCTTGTGGGCTCCAATATCACAAAGTAATTTGTTACTATTAAACAGTCCTTTTCTTCAATTTGTTTTCCTGTTTTTTCTTTACTTCTGTCATGATTCTTCTGATGAACAATGTTTCCTGATAAGAAAATTTCATAAATTTAGTTTCTGTGTTAAAGAAACAGGTGTTCATAGTCACGTCCCTCTTACCAGGATATGGGCGTCACTGTGCCGTGTCTTTTCGTCTGCTATTTTATTTTGTTCATAAAATATAACTGTTATCTTCATATCGGATAAATTAACCCCGTAAAATATACTATATATTAACGATTTTTGGCTTCATATACAGGTAAATGCTTATATTACAATAGTATGATTGTATACTTGTATAGTTAGTTGTTGACAATGACAATATATATGATATAAAATCTGCATGAGGAGTTGACACAACAAAATGAAACGTTGCGACTTGTGACGTGCAAGTGGTAGACCAAAAAGCCATGACGTAGATTCATCGTTGCATGAATTATCATATCCATTAGAAATGGAATATATATGGTAGTGCTTCATCAATAACAATATGTGTCGTCAATATATATATATGAAACTAGATAGAGGAATATTGTTTACTATTTTATGACTCCTTCTGTAGTTGTTGCATTACAATATATGATATATTATTTAGATCATTGATTTGTTAATTTGCCTACTAACGTCTAACGGTCGGGTCAATTCAAATAGATAGATCACACGTTCTGTATAATGGCACGATAAAATTTAAACATAGTATTATCGTTCCGTTTGGTTTTGCTAATAATATACTTACAATCAACATAGTATTGATTTGATTCATACATTGTAATGTACATTACTATTCAAATGATCTCAAAGATTAATTTGTTTCTTTGTTTTATTTAGACTGATTGAAATATATAAATAAAGGTTTATGTTTTGTAAATACATACTTCCTCCTTTTAAAAAATATATCATTTTGACATTTTATTTTTGCTTAACAGACAGTATTATTTTCGATTTTCAATGCAGTTTTAAAATTAAATTTTAGTTTTATCTTTGTTATTTTAGCTTATTAGTTAGAGAGAGAAACTGTTTTAGTGTATCTGTAAATGATACAATAGACATTTACAAAAAAAAATTTAATTGTGTTGTGAAACGGAATGAATAATTACTAATGAAGGCGATGTAAAAAAACAAATTACTAATGAAGGCTTTTTTTTTTATTTGTTCATTTGGATTAGTCAGTGGTCGATTTAAAAATATGTATCACGTACATTAATGATTTTATCTCTCTAGTGGATAAGTACTCGTTGTAAAACTAATTAATATTTAGGTTTGTTCGGGAAATCAGGTAAAATCGGAATGACACACAGAAAATTAACTTGTTGTTCTTAATTACATAATGACATGCTAGCAACGAAAAGGTGATTACAGGTTTGCTTGGATATAGATTAATGAAGGTTTGTTCACTATGATTTCAATACAGCTGTCTACTTAACATTTTAAATGGTAAAAGAAAATCCATAAGCCTTGCATTAGTTTGGATTACGCTCCAAGATCATCCATTTTTTTAAAGAAACTAACTGATTAGATAATGAAGTTTGGTTCGTAATTAGTATTAGACGTGTACACGACCAATGCTTTTGTGAGGGGTCAATGATTGAAGACGTAGACCTTCCCATGAACGCAGTTTCAATTCACTGCATTTCAAAGCAATAATTGAATTTCTAAAATAAATGCCAATATATTGTGTTTACAATACATGTATATTTGTGTGTTTAAAAGCCTTAAAGTTGGGAACACGGCTTAAGTTTTGGTTAATAAAACAACTAACCATTCATCTTTTTGCCTCAATTTTATACAAAACGTATTAATCTGTTTTTTTTAAGAATGGAAAATGTAGTAAGTATAAGTATTACGACATTTTTTTGTTTATTTGTTAATTAATGAATAATTAAGAGCAAATAGTATTGTTTTGACACCATATGGTTTATTGGGAGTAACAAAACAACTCAATGATATGTGCTGTTTTTATGGTACACCGAATGATGTTCGATGTTTCTCTTGTTGCTTCCCAAGTCAGTCCAAAACTCAGTTTTGTTTCTACATTGCTCACTCCCCACGTGTCCTCACGTGATTTTTTAACGTACGGTCCTGATGCTTTCCTCACTCCATTTTCACACGTGTAATCCACGGCTCTAAATCAGCGCGTCTCCAACACTCGCCTTTCCTGCGTTCTTTCCCCTTTTGAGGGATTTCGGACAGAAACTGATCTAAATTTAGAAGCCAAGTCTTATTCGAGGCCCATCCTTACGAAACCATGATTAGGTTACCGTTAAACAAAATTGAATTCAATGCTTAGCTTCATCCCAAAAGTAGAAAGAAAATTGGGCCAAACCGAAAAGGGTAACTTCAAATGATCCTCCTCCTCTCAATAATTGAGAGCTCAATTTTTTTTTAAAAAAAAACTATAATATAACCTTTTAGTGTCAAACTCCAAAAATTTGGATTACATTTTTTCTTGCTGAAAAATTGAAAGGACTCGTTTGGGAGAAAGAGCAATTATTGTTGTATGCATGGCAGAAACATACAACGAAAAGCGTCCAATTTGTACATGTACTTACGATAATGCAACATCAACATGATTGATTGACTTTTTGGCAATAGTAAAAAATAAAGATGAAATATGAAACTGACTATTACCAAAATTAAATTACATTGCAGTACCACGGATTATTATTGCATAGAGTAAAACAAAGGTGTGAACTTAGATCCTTTTTTCTATGTGGTTTGGTGGCTCTGCTTTCTGAAACGTTACTACAGAATTCATTATTATTCCACTCCCAACCATACATGTATAATTGTGTTACATGTTTTTTGAATATATTTCTAGAAAAAGGGTAGTGAGAATGGTGTTTACTAAAGTAGGTAAGTTGAAAATCTATAGAGATATACAACAACAAAAAAAAGAGGAAAAGAAACGTTAAATGAAGAAGAATATTTGGTTCTGATGTATTATGTGGGGGAAAAATCTACTCTCTTTTTTTTGGTTTTTATTCCTCTTCACATTAAAACTTTGCTGAAACATTGTTTTTACTTTTTACTATTTGAAAAAAAAAAACTTAAAGTAGTTTAACGTTTTACTATATTTTTCACCTCAAAAATAGACACCAATCACACCCCTAAGGAGATGTAATGTTTGCCTAGCCTCACACGAAATGGTAAAAATACACATGCAAAATAGAAGTAAAATCGCATTTTTATTTTTATCAAAATAGAACTTATATAAAATGACATAATTCTCCTCTGACACTGCTTATTATTTCTATCTTAGTAATTGATTTGCTATATATATTTCGATAAAGTTTGTTGTACCTACATCCATAATACCATACACAACGATGATGCCTCAAATTGGAGCATGTGAATTTGCTGCGAACATTTTCTTGCTGCAAACAGTTTGTACATACAAAAGATATAATTACGCACAGTCTTACTATGTCCTATTTTCTATGATTTGAGATACGGAAATGTAACAGTCACAAATACTATTCAACATCGCTTTTACATTAATCCATAATCCTAAATCAAATTTCCCTCGTGAAACTCTCAAATGTTTGTAAATGTAACAGCAAAATACCTTACAACATCGTTTGGTCCAAATAAAATAAAAAACAAAAAAACTTGCCATCTAACGACCGACAATTATATAAAGAGTGTGTGAAAAGAATTAAATACAGAGACCATCTAATTAGGTCTCTTCTTTAAATAATAACAATCCATGTCGACAAAACTGCACGTTATGCTCCAAAGTCCAAAACACAGCTTAATTAACCAGTTCTCTTGCTAAACTTTTCTTTATAAAATTATAATTTAATTAAACTATCCCTATTTATTTTCATTTCTATCACTTTCTTAATGCATTGACACTCGACAGTATTGTCTCCTCGTGGCTTCTGATAATTCATAATTGTATACAGATTTGTTTACCTTTTGGTGAAATTGAAGAACCAAACCGGTTTGAAAGTGAACTAAACAACCTTTTGCAGAGCTGAAATGATTCAGATTTGTTATACATTTAAATCCTCTGACAAAGATTGAAATAAGTATCACAATTTGAGATATCGAAACGTGAAAACTTTGTGGTTCACAGAATATCTACTAACTTTCAAGAACTGCTTTCTCCTGATTGCGAATCGGTAAGCTTAGTGCTGAAGTCCCAAACCTTCTTGGCCAATTCAGAATCTTTGGCAAGTGGTAATGGTTTAGCAATGTTGCTATCTAAGAAGTATTCTCCTGTAACTCCTGTTACCTGAGGATTCAATGCCACATAGCAAGTTGTTGCCGCCCCCTACAAAGTCAAATATTCCACATGGTTTAACCAGATAACCGACAAACCAAATCAACACCTATACCTAGACCGGTCTATCTCTACACCTTGTGGCCGGTTTGTAACTGATTGGTTGGTTATTAATGTGAGGTTTAGAAAATAGAAGCATACCTGTGGAACAGTCTTGAGCGCATACTTAGCCACTGCACCAACAGCTCCTGCATCAAGCCAGTGACAGAGAAAATCAGAAGCAAATCAGAGTATATCTACACGTTTGTTTATTATATGTGTAACCTTAAAGAGTATGGTTTGATGAGTGTGGAATCAGAGAAAAGAAGTTACCAGCCAAATAGCTATTAAAGTAGCGCCCGAGATTTGTCATAATGGCTCCAGGATGAAGTGAATTTGCTGTTATATTGGCTCCATCTTCCTGTTTTTTTATTCATAACAGAGTTGAATCTTAAGATAACCATGGAAACATAGATTCTTGATTTGGTAAATCTTTTTGGTTTTTATTTGTAGTTACCTTCAGTTGCTTTGCAAGCTCGTTGGCGTGCAATACATTGCACAGTTTAGATTGTCCATAAGCTCGGAAACTACTGTAACTGCAGTGGAAACCAAACCAAAGAAGAATGTTAGATTTAAAAAGAATCAGAGGAGATCGAAGAATTGCTATTTGGTTCGCCATTACATTAGTACCTTGACTTGTCATTGATCTTATCAAAACGGACTCCTTCCGAGTAAGTGTACCGATGAGCTTCTGATGAAAGATTAACAATCCTTCCTTCTCTTTTGCTTTCACGTGATGTGTTCTTCATTGAATCTAGCAGAAGTTTGGTCAACAGAAAATGACCTGAAAGACAATTTAGATATAATGATGAGATTAACTAAAGATACAATAAGACAAAGCCATAATGTTAGTTTGTTTATCTTACTAACCTAAATGGTTGGTTGCGAATTGCAGCTCGATGTTGTCCTTAGAGAGCATAAAAGGACATGCCATTATCCCAGCGTTGTTGCTTACAAAGATTGAGACAAATTCAAAAAAACATTAAACCATCATATAATCACAAACCGCTCTCTATATATATGAACCACAGTGGTTTTGAATAGCTTACATCAAGAGGTTAAGTGGGAGACCAGCAGATCTGTAGTCAGATGCAAATTTCCTGACGGATTCCAATGAGCTGAGATCTAACTCCATGACGTCGAGTTTAGCACCAGGGACTTTGTTGACAATATCTTGCTTAACTTTAGCACCAGAGCCAGTGTTCCTCACCGCCATGACCACGTGCACACCACGCAGTGCAAGAACACGAGCTGTCTCTACTCCTATACCACTTGATGCTCCTGAAAACATGAACACAGACAAAAAGAAAACTTGAGGAACCAAAAATAGTCCATAAAGCTTAAGGGATGGTAACTAATTAAGCTAGTTTCAATACACTGGTAGTCTGAATCAGAACGTTTCATAGCTGCATATGTCTATTAATACACTAATAACTCAATATATTAATACAACAATTACGATTTAACTAAGAACTCAATATACCAAGAAAATAGCAACACTTCACACATATAAGAAACACATATTGGCTCTAATCTATATGCAACTTGAGGTGTCTTTAACTTCACCAACTCTTGCTTAAGCCTAAAACTAAAAGGATTCGATCGTTCTTGATTCAAGGGTCCTTTGAAAATGATCATGAGCATTAAAACGATTTCGGATAAGTTTCTTTCTCCCTCTATAGACTGTGTGATATACAGCACAAAACTAGGATCAGCTGAAACAGAGACGAGTATATGTAAGCTTCTAAAAAGCACATGTTCTTTTGCAGATCCGAAGTTATCTTCCCTTTCAGACAATGGTCCCAAACATGTTGTAAATTGGATTCACCAAATAAAGAAAGAATCCAATTCAAAGAAAAGCTCTTGAGATTGTTACGTATTGAAATAAAAGAGACAACTTTCGAACAACAAGGAGTGAAGAGTGTTGACCGAATCAAAAACAGACCCTGATCATTAAAAAAAAACCCCCAAAATCAACTCAATTATATGAAAAGTCAAATCTCCTTTGAAAATTAATTCTAAGACAGACTCAGAGAGGACCCAAAATCTGGAAACTAAAGAAAAGTCAACATATTTAGACAAACCCAATTCGTGAAACCGCAGGAAAACTGGAAAAGTTTTGATTGAAGAAAACCTGTGACTATGGCAGTGAGGCCAGTTCCGTCAACTCCATGTGTGACTTCTTCTGCAGTGGAACGAGACGAGAATCCAGATGCTCCTTTCGATCCAAAAAACCACATCTTTTTTTTCTGCAGAGTCGAGAGACGATAGGGGAAATGAAAAGAAAGTAACAGAGACCGTGGGAGAGTTGTAAACGTTTTCTTCTCGAGTGGTTTCGCTTTAATTCTTATTTTTATTTCGTAACTTTATGTACATATGTGAAATGTGATAAACTTTAATGGAAAAAAGAATAAGGAGATTGGATGATCGAAAGTGATGGGGAGGAAATCCTCGAGAAGAAGATTAGATCTGCAAGTCGAAGGCGCGTACGTCACACATAGGAACAAAGTCAAAAGATACCATTTTTTTTCAAGAATTTTGCAGTTGTCTTCAAGCTAGTTCCAACCTTAACATAACTTCATCCCCATTTGCTTTGATCATCAAACAAAATTAAACTATGAGTAAATGGGAGGGGCCGCGCGAACGCAGGCCCCCACGGCCACAAATAATGACGCAGGCTCTCCCACATGGGGAGACCTTAAGCTAAGCACCCCTCCTAAGTGTGCAATGCAGGTCACTAGCTTAGGCCACTCGTCTTCTTGATCGCGAGTTGACCCCGTCCAGGTAAGTACCTTACAATGTCCGACCTTGGTCTTTGTTTATACTACATCAGAGACGAGTGTTCTATCGCCAAGTTCCGATGTGGGAGAAACATCACTTATCTTTTACTTGACATTAGGCAGGGTTTCGTTGTTTCATAAGCCCTTGCTTTTTTCTCTAGATGGGCCTCAGTGATGATTATATTCCGGCCCAAATAGAACCCACTTTACTATGTTTTTTTCTAAATTTTGTCACTCAAAAGTCAAGGGATATGATAGGCGTGGCTGAATTTATTGTCATTCAACGTTTTTTAATAAACTGTTGTGATGTGAACAAACATTTTACATAGGGAGATTTAGTTGTTTCTTTCTATAACAAGGTTCTAGACTTGTTCATGGGAAGGTATCAGACTGGTTCGGAGGATGACTCGAGAGTGATGTTGATTCACTTGATATGAGAGGAACGAAGTTATTAGGGTTGAATTTCCAGTCTTCGGGCCACGAACGAATCAAATTCTATTTCTCAATCTTTCGGTGAATAGCCGAGTAAGTCCATAGGCAAAGGTTCTCTTGGTCCGTAACCGCACCATCAGTAAATTCTCTAAAGATAAATGGTTTAAAGAACAATGTCTCTAGTTTTCAAATATTATTGGCATTTTCTTATGATTTAGATTACTGTATTTTTTTTAAAAAAAAGTTGCAATTCTTGTTTTTGCCGTTCACTCATCGAACAGATAGATATGTGTACTGGTATTTAAATTGACTTTACCACATCCACTTGACACAAAATAAATTGACGTTTCCACATACAGTAGACACGTATTTTGGATCTTCCAATAAATTCTACAAAACCGCCAGACAAAAACCTTCATAGGCTGTTAATGTTGAATCAGTCAAAATGAAAACATAACCGGTCCCAACAATAATGGTGTTTCAACTTCCACAATCGTGACTTTTCTTTTTGTTTTTGGCTCAATAGTAAGTTATGCAATATACAAAAAACAAAACAAAATTTATTTGACTGTAGCCACATGTTTGCCTTGCGGCTTCTAAGTTCTAACTCAAAGTAACCGTTAAAACTTTTACGTAAAAAAATGGTAACAAGTCTTTGTCTAAAGAACAAAAACCAAACAGAAGAAGATGTTAATTCTTCAACGAGGAGTAACACTGGTGATTGTTGCCTCATCTACCGAACAAGTAAAAGATTTGTTAGTAGATTGAGTCGATTCTGAGTCTACCCCCGATGAGTTCGATCCTGGTCCGTTCGGGAAGAAGAATCCAGGTGTCTTAGGCACAGGCAGGATAAGTGAACTGTTTGTGAGCATCTGGTGAATTTTCGACATTGCTGGGCGATCTTTAGGGGTTTCTTGAACGCATAATAGTCCGATATGGATACATCTAGTGATTTCATCCTTTTTACAGTCTTCTACGATACATTCTTCTTGTAAAGCGGGATCTATGACTTCAGACAATGACTTGTTCTGCCAAAGTTTCCAGACCTGTAATATTCAGATTTTTATGATCACGTACTGTTTACAAGAATTAAAGTTTGAGTTGAGACAAATCATTAGGTCATAATTACTCACATATGTGACTAAATTGTTAACCAAACCATCAATGCGGTGGAAGCTGCTGTTCTTTTTGCCGCTAACGATCTCAAGTATCAATACTCCAAAGCTATACACATCTGATTTTGTCGAGAATTGGCCATGTGTTACATACTCAGGAGACATGTAGCCGCTACAAATTAAAATATAGACAACGTTTTTGTTAGTAAATTACAAATATGGTTAGTTGATTCCAAGTTTGAACAACAAAAAAAAAAGGTTAGTTGATTCCAAAAGTTTATACACTTACAAGGTTCCGACGACTCTTCTTGTATTGGCTCCACCTTGGTCCATTTCAAAGATCCTAGCCATTCCGAAATCGGAGATTTTGGGATTCATATTTGCATCCAAGAGAATGTTACTAGCTTTAAGGTCACGGTGTATGATTGTGAGCCGTGAATCTTGATGAAGATAAAGTATCCCTCGAGTAATCCCGTTGATGATGTTGTATCGCACTGCCCAGTCCAACTGAGCTCTCTTCACAGAGTCTGCATATCCAAATGTTTACCTCATTAGCCATATTTACAAAAAAGATTAAGACCCTCTGTATATATGTCAAGTTGAAACAACATGTATACCAAATAAGAAAAAATCGAGGCTTTTGTTGGAAACAAACTCATAGACGAGTAACTTCTCTTCTCCTTGAATCGAGAACCCTAGAAGCCTAACAAGATTCCTGTGTTGAAGCTTTGCAACAACAAGAACCTCGTTCTTGAACTCTTCTTCACCTTGTCCTGATGTTTTCGACAGTCTCTTCACCGCAACTTCAGTTCCATCGGGGAGCACACCCTTTAAAATAATTACAAATATTAAGCACATCTTTTCAAATTTTGTCCGCAAAGAACTGGAAAAATTAAGTGAGTACTTACCTTGTAAACTTCACCAAATCCACCTTCACCAAGCTTGTTACTTTCAGAAAAATTGCTCGTTGCAACTTCGATCGTCTTTAAATCGAATTGTACAGATTCAGCTTCATTTTAAGACCAACATTAAGCTTTGTCAGTAATGTTTTAAAATTGTGACAAGACCAAAACCAATCAATGGTAAAAAAAAAGGAACTTACTCTGAAGCGTAATTGATTGGTTTTGCTTTCTCCTCTTGAAAATAACTAAGCCTAAAGCAATCAATAGTATGACAATGACAATAGAAATAACAATGGCCGCCACAATTCCACCAGAGATTCTTTTATCTGCAATTAAACACAATTCACCAAGAACATTAATTACACAAAGCAAAAAAAAAAAAAGTGTGAAAAATCTTGCTCTGAAATTTTACCAAAAGGACTTGCCTTTCTTGGTGCTCTTGGTCAGGTTTACTACAGAAGGAGGCGGCGGTGATCTTATGTTATTAATATTATCAAAAGCACCGGAGAAAGTATACAGTTCCCACCGGAAAAAGCAACTTGGCCGCAAAATAATGCTGCCTCTCTTCCCATAGTACCATGTGTTGTAGTAATCAATGCTTCCCTGTAGACAAAGTTTACAATCATCTGAAGAAACATCTGGAGTGCATTGCATCAACACAGATATGTTCCCGTAAACCGGCACCGGAGCTACATCCTTTGCATAGTATTTACTACTTGGCGATGATGATAAAGAAGTAGACGAACTGTTTCTCACCGACGAAGAAGCTACTGTCACCATACGAGACATTAGCCCGTCCCACACACTATAAAACTCGTTCTGGACATCTTTTTTAATCTCCAGGACATTGAAATACACATCATATGGCTCCAAGGCGAGGACCCCGGAGAAGGACTTGTTAGAGTAGCGAACAAGGCAAAGGATCTCATTACCGATCCATGAGAAAGCGTGTGTCTGGTTCGGACAGCTTTGTAATACAGACTTGGATGCCTCTTCGATACAGTTGGAGCAAGTTTCTGATGCAGCACCTGGAGCGCACATCCCCGTGGCGTAGATGCGGTCCGGACCAAGCCCTGTGGAACCGTTGAAGTAGCCGTTGTGAGCCGTGACGTTAGAAGGAAGAGTAGAGAGGATGAGACGGCGGTTCTTGTCATATTGACTGTTGGGTTTGAAGCTCCCAGAATTTTTGTCACAACTATCATCTTGTGCCGAAACAGAAATGGTAGCACTAAAAGTTATGATCAAGAAACAGAGGATTGATAGAGAGCTCTGCTTTCCCATTTTTGTTTCTTTTGATAATTCAGATTGTGTGTGTGTTTGGAATGTGTGGATTTTATCAGCTTATCCTGAACTTTGAATATTATTCACACTTGATGTTGAGCTGACCATTCGCTGTATTAATATATTGATATTGACTTATTTGGATTTCAGTGGAAGACGTAGACACGTTGATATTGGGGGTTTTTTTTTTATATAATGAATTAGGTAAAAGGAAATTAACAAGAAAAATTGTTTTGATTGTTCATGTGGTTTTGGATCATATAAGAAATATGTTTTATAAAGTTAACAAGTTACACATCAATTTTTCTTTAGTTTTTTTTGTCATCGTTCAACTAATTATTTATATACTTATCAGCTTGAGCATTAGAGGCATCGAAAGACGGGAAGAGATAACCTATTGGAGCCAAAGTGGACCAGCTTGAGAAATGTACGATCAATTGTTCAATGCTCCACGTTTTCAAAAGAGATCAAGAAATTGTAGATATTTGGAATTAAGGGTAAATTTGTGGATGAAAAATCGTCTCTCTGACTTGTCGTGATTGTGTTTCAACTATTATTCACAATTATTTAGCCATGCAATCTTTAGGTACGTTATTATTATACGCAATAGCTGGAATTTTTACGATTATTTCCTCAGGACACAATAAAATATTAATCCGCCAGAATTGACTATTATATATCAATTGTTTCACCAGGACACTATGAAATATTAAATTAATGTTGTGAATCTGAGTGTTTTTTTATTGATAAAATTAGCTGTAATTTCAGAGCCTCGATCGACAACAACAATCAATATAAACCAAAAAGTCGTCCTCGAAAACTTTTTGAATATTAAGACAATGAAGAAAAAGACAGCGATGAAAATCACGCTCTGCAATTCGGTTTCTAGTTGGGAAGCAGTGACGTTCCTCCTCATCAATGCAACTTTATTTGATATGTACTATGAAAGTTGAATTATGAGTTGATAGTATATTGTAATACTATTTGCAGGACATATCGAAACGATGATAACGTGAAGCAGAAAAATAAATGTTCTCTCTCTTGTCTTTCTCTCCATGGTCATTCCTCACAACGAGTAGTTTTATTTTACTATTTTGAAGTTTGTCTTGTGTTTTTGGGGAAAAGAATAGATTTAATACAAGTAAAAATAAAAGTTAATTTGTTCCTGAAAATATATTAATGCCGAATGTGGTTTTGGCTTAACTAATAAAAGCTCAGGTTACAAGGCTTTAAGTAGGGTTGAACTATTAATTATTATACTATAGTATTGGGAGGGGCCGCGCGAACGCAGGCCCCGCGGCCACAAATAATGACGCAGGCTCTCCCACTTGGGGAGACCTTAAGCTAAGCGCCCCTCCTGAGTGTGCAATGGAGGTCACTAGCTTAGGCCACTCGTCTTCTTGATCGCAAGTACCTTTTAAAGCTCGACCTTCGTCTTGTTTTATACTACATCAGAGCGAGTGTTTATCGCCAAGCTTCCGATGTGGGAGAAACAACATTTATCTTTACATAACATTAGGCAGGGTTTCGTTTTTTAATTATGGGCCATCCTTCATGACTAATATCTGGCCCAACAAGAACCCATTTAAGATTTTATTATGTTAACTACTCAGGTTCTAACTCTTCATGATCTTTGTGTAGCCCAATTAATCCTAGTTGGAACATACATATCGTTATACAATGTTAATCGCTCTTTTTTAATAACAGAAAGGTGAAATCTTCAATAACAAAAATTTAGGCTCTGTACAAAATATTTCTAAATTAGAGAGGCCAAGAAGTAAACAGCGAAATTCGAAGCATTACATAGAATAATTTTTTTCAGTAATACCGATCTCTGCCATGCCACCACTTCGACCTACATTGGGCCAAAAAAAAAAACAAAGCATTCAATTATAAACGTAACAAAAAAATATTTATCTCTAGTGAGTTAACAATTAAGTCTCACCAGGACTGTTCCCATCCGGGTCGGGATTTGGACATGCCGTAGCGTCCGTAAGGGAAACCGTAATTTTGAGGGCGCTTGACGTTTTTAAACGCGCAGCAACCAACGCAGTAAACGGCGATGAGGAAGAGAACAATGACAACGTTAACTATAGAGAGTCTATGCCAATCGCGACGCACTGTCTCTAAAACGCCAGCTCTACACGAGTCACAGTCGTAGCAGAGCACCGTCGCTGCGTTGTTCCACCGGTAACAATCCGATTCTTGCTGTATCGGCGTCTCCGTGTTGTAAACGCACGACGTCGGTGGTTTGCAACATCCAGACTGTGTTTTCCCAATACCCAATATTTTAAAATCTCGAATTATATAATATGAGCACAACTATATAATTTCATGATATATAATCAAATCAATACGCTAGAAAACGTTTGATTTGATTAGTTGATTAATTGTAGTGATTATGACATATTTAGAATTTATAATTAATCGTCAGTTTAAAAACATAGATTATAGAATGGTCGAGTACCTGAAGAGGAGACAAGTCCTTTTGGAGATAGTCTATAGGAGTCCAAAGAGAGAGCTTGGAACAGGTGAGTGAGCCCAAGAGACAAGTCTTAATAGTCAACCAATAATTAGCATCCATAACCCTTGTCTTAAGCCATGGATGATACTCTTCAAGCTTAAACTCTTTATAAACCCTACCGGTCACACCCACACCACCACCATGGCTAGTCACTATGAACCCGAAAAGGGTCAAACCCATGAGCGCAACTATGATGAAGACCATGAAGAAGAGGTACACCCACAAGACCCAAGCCACGTCACAGCATGCACCGACCAGACCAGCTAGTGACAAGACCAGGATCGCTAGGCCTAAGACCAAAAGGGGCTTCTGAAGAAAATGCTCGCATGTTGTCTTGCTCTTACCCATCCACAGAGCTGATCCTATTATAACTATGGAGGAAATTAGTGTTAGGATATTCAAGAACCCTATCACTGTATTGCTCATTCTGTTCATTTTCACTCTCTCCCTCTTTTTGTTATTTAAATTTTGGAATGATTCTCTGATTCTTTTTGTGTGTGAGTGTGTTTGTACTATATAAATGTTTCTAGCTGGCTTGTCTCTCTCGCTCTCTCTATATATATAAATCTTAATCACATATGCTTCAGGTACTTTATACTTGAGAGATCTTATATGACAACAATGTTGTTGGTATATACACATTCACATGTATATATGATTGAATTTTGAAATAAATAAATTTAGAGAAAACAAAAGAGAAAAAAGTCGATGAAATTATTCTCTTAACTTTTTATCTAACTTCTTGGTGTTTGCTACTTTTTATGTGATGTATGCGTCTTCACTTGCTTTAGTTTCATCGCTTTTGAATTTTGGTGAGTGGCTTTACCTTTTTCTCAAATGTTATATTTTAAAATTATGAATTATTCGTTTCTTATTATTTTTAGTTGTGGATCTTTGAAACTTTATAACAATATCAATTCAAAATGTTAATTGAGAGTCTTTTTCTTAAATATAGACTTTATGTTTTTTGGTTGGGACTTGGCGATTAAGAAACCTCTCTCTATCAGTTCGACTATCGATAAAAAGAGTCCATACTTGACATAGTGGGATCATCATTAGCCAAACTTCTTAACCATTAAGTAACTTTTCCCGCTCAACTTTTATATGATTTTTGTTCATGGATTTATCTACAAGTTGAATATACGTGGCCACAATAATCTAAACATTAAGATAAAACTTCGAACATTTAAATAAAATATTTTATATTCGTCAACTACAGCTACAGCATTCATCGTCGTTAATATTGATTGGTTTGAGGGTTTGGTTTGAGGGATTCATCGTCGTTAATAAACGATGCTAATCAACTTCTTTTTCTCTGGTCACAATCAACCTTTTTCTTCTTGATCCACTAGATCACCATTGTTAATTTTCATTGGTCTCGGGGATAAGATAGAAAGTTTAAGGGTTTTCCGAAACAATAAACAATAATGACCGTTATTTGTTAGATAAGTATACATGATCCGACTAATATATGAACCAAGGCAATAAGTACTTATGATATTATCTTAAGGTGCAAGCTATAGCTGAACTCACGCTTTCAACATAAACGGATAAACCCAGAGAACAAGAACCTAATGAAGGTTAATTAGAACTTGAGTGTCTTCTATCGATGCTCCTTAGTGTTTACATGACAAAGTAGAAAGAAGGAAAGTTTCAGCAAATATTATTTCTTACAAGCATGGCATAAACTCTGCAGTTCCAGTCTCACTGACCAATGGAAATTATATTTCTTGAGTTTCATCCATATTGAATCAGTTCAGAGACAGAACCTATCACCCAAGTATACATAGAACTGAAACTGTGATAACTACTAAGAAAATGAAATTTCAAACAAAAACATATCATAAAGTGGAAAAATAAAAAGACTATGAAAGAAGAACGTCTGTGACACTACTCTATTAATTTCTACAAAGTATTAAGAACCACACTACACATTTTACAATTTATTTGCGTATGTTTAATTTCTACGGTATTAGCATACATATGTCCAGTTCCATATCGTGTCAATGATATACAAACAAGATCCTGAGCTTGCACCATGTACAAAATGTAGTCTAACAAGATACAATTTCATTGACATAATTACTTGCACATACACAATACAATGTAACAAGATACAATTCCAATGTTACAAGATAAATTACACATATACAATGTTACAAGATGGAACTACAGTGGCAGATTAAGGTAGAATCACACAAGAGACGAGAGGAATGCACATAGAATAAAAAGATTTGATACATTTCTTAAGCTTGATGATGATATGATCAGAGAATACGTGCATAGGTCTATGCCTTAGACTTGAAAGGAATGGCTCTGATGACTATCTGATGGTACAGAGCAGCAAGAGCAGCACCAATGAATGGACCGACCCAGAAGATCCACTGAACACACATAAAACAGAAGAAACCAACAAATCAAACAGAGGAATGTCAGATTCAACCTAAGAACTCGATTGTTTGATGCAATTCATACTTATCACACATAGCACAACCGTTGTTGATGTGCTTAAGGAAGAGACACTTACATGGTCTTCCCAAGCATGATCCTTGTTGTAGATGATGGCAGCTCCGAGACTCCTGGCCGGGTTAATTCCGGTTCCAGTGATTGGAATGGTGGCCAAGTGCACCAAGAAGACAGCAAACCCAATCGGAAGCGGAGCCAAGATCTGAAAAACGTTCAGTGACCAAAACACATCAGTTACGTTCTATGCCAAGAATATGAACCAAACTCAATTCTTTTCAGCGACCGAAAAAAGTATGAAATTAGCAACATACAGGGACATGGGAGTCTCTGGCACTTCTCTTGGCATCGGTAGCTGAGAAAACAGTGTAGACAAGAACAAAAGTTCCTATAATCTCTGCACCGAGACCTGAACCTTTCGTGTAGCCATGAGCCACCACGTTGGCTCCACCGCCATTCGCTTGGTATGGTCCTGACTGAAACCCCTTGACCACACCAGCACCACAGATGGCTCCAAGGCACTGCATCACTATGTAGAAGAGAGCTCTGGTTAAAGACAGCTTCCTCGCCAAGAACAAACCGAATGTAACCGCCGGGTTAATGTGTCCTCCTGTATCAAATGCTTCAAACTCAGAAACTTCTTCGGCATAGCTAAGAAATTGACAAAACTCTCACAACAATTCTTACTAATTATAGACTACTTCAGCTCTAGATTCGGAAACTTACCAAATTTGGAATCAATTAAACCCCTAACCTGAGATTCCGGCAGTACAGTAGACGAGTGCGAAGATCATGCCGCCGAAAGCCCAAGCGATGCCTTGGATTCCGACGGAGGCGCACATGTTTGGAGATCTCTTGACGCCCATGACTGTCAAAACGGTGATGTAGAGGAAAAGGAAAGTGGCGATGAACTCGGCGATGCCGGCTCTGTAGAAAGACCACGACTTGAGCTCGCCGGGCTCGAAAAACGGCGCCGGAGGTGGTTCCTTGTAGTCTTTGCTATCCGTCTGCGCCGCCGTACCGATCGGCTGCCTCTCCGGGAACTTGTTGGCTCCCACATTCACATCCTCTTCCTTGCCCTCCATTGTTTCTCTCTCTCTCTCACACTATGGATAATAATGGATATGAAAGAAAGTGAAGACGATGAGGCTCTGTTTTTATGGTTGGGTCCATTTATGCCAGAAATAAATTAAATAACTATATTTTCATTTGCGAGCTAATCACATGCTAATTTCCAAATCTTCTTGGTTATTATTTAATCATGCAAATTTCGGTTATTGATTTCTATAAATCATCTGCAAATTTTTTAAATCATTAGATACAGTTAATTCAGTCATTTGTCTTTTTGAAAAAATCTATTTGTAGTCTAAAATAATTAACAAGAGGCTAGCTTTTTGTTTTTATAGTTGGTTAATCTATATCATCAATTGATTTTATATAAACCTACATCTTCATATGTAAGACTTTAAATTCATTTATAGTTTTTCTAAAAATGGTTATTTTATTTGTCTTTGAGCATAATTAAGAATAAAATGATTTAAAAATAAAAAAATTGGGTAGGTATGTGAAATGGACAGGACAACCGCGAAAACAAATATTTGGGCCAATCCAACGTAATGAAGTGGACATAAAAATAAGCAACTGCTCTATAATTTGCTGAAACAAGTATATTACAACTCAAATGATGTAGACTTAATAATGTTTTCTACCAATTTATATAGAAGATATTTTTATACAGCGCTGAAATACACCTCACATCGACTGTCCATATTGCCCTACAATCGGAGGAATCATCGAAAAATGTTGATGCCATCACTATATTACCTAAACAATTGTGTGTATCATCAAATCATTGAAATAGGACGTAAAGTTGTTATACTTTGTTTAAGTATACACTTATAGGAATAAATTTAGTCGATGTTTCCAAATAAACGTTAAAAAGATTTTCTAGAATTTTTTTAATCATTTATGTTATTTTACGAATACAAAATGGAATTGATTCATACGCATACGCATGTTTCTCAAGTCTAATGTCAAAATAGTGAATGTTTTAAGGTTTGGATCACCTTTCAACAAATTTGCTTTATCATCATTCATCAAAGACATATTTCAAAGAGAAGTTCATAAGTTGGGACAATTTAGAGAACTGAAAGATTTATGACACTAATCTAAAGTAAACGTTTTGTACAAACAAAAAGTTTGAAGAAATTAATTCAACAAGTGGTTGAATTATGTTTAACTTATAATATTTTCCATGATCTTAACATATAAAACTGTTCATAAGAGCCTATGGGCCTGTTTAGGACTATGGGTCCAAATTAATCATAAGAGGCATAAGCCGATCAAAAGAGACTATGGGCTCAAATAATATTGGGAAAAAATTAAAAAATGCTCGATTAGGGCTACGGTTTGCTCAACGTCTTCTACCACTTTATATATAAAAGCTATCTTAAGGTTTGCGTCGATGGTAGTTCAATAGTTCCGTCGCTCTGGTTTCCATCACATCGATTGGTGTCAAAGCCATGCTTTTTCTTGTCATTCCCTATGGGAGAATTTTGCACGGCTCTGATACCAATTTGATGCAATGAAAACATCGATATTGGCTGGTTCTGTTTGTTAGAGCATAGTTTCACAATGAGGCCATGAGATTCGGATTTAGTCGGAAACAAGTTTCCTGGGATTTGCTGTGGTTCCGAGAATTGAAAATGTTAGAAATTTGTAGATTTGCTGTGGTTCCGAGAATTGACAATGTCACTACAACGCGATGCTCAAAGGTCAGTTCACAACGCTTGCTTAGAAGAAGGTTATTAGCTTTATTTTTGGATTACATGGTCATGAGATATCATATTATAGGCGACACCACTTACATTTTGAGATGAAGAAAACTGAATGGGCGATACTTTGGCGAATTGTATCATAAGTTTTCCATATCTCTACAATTTTATATTTTGTTTCAACTGTTTTACATATTCTGTGTCACATTGTGAGTTTTGTTGTAAGTCCCACTTGAAATTCTTGATCTTGATAGTTTGTCTGAGTGTAACTTCTCGATTTTGTTTTGGGTTTCATCTATAAGTTTGCTAATGATTCGCTTACGAATCCACACATAGGGACTTAGAAAGAGAGACGCTTGCTATTGTATATGTTTTCTTCGCATTAAACCTCTCTAAAGTATTGTGCTTCATTAAACTTTTGGAAAATGCACTTAAGAGCCTTGATTCTAGAATTATCTGTTGCCAAGTTTCTTTCTTTGCATAGAGTGAACATGATGAAATTCCATTGCATCCATATTCACAAACAGCTAGACCTTTTATCATCCTCTGCTTAAGAACCCTTCTGTTCAGGTTTTAGTTTATATAAGAGAGTTCCTTATTTCAAGACGCTATCTGATTTTGAATCAGTGTACTGATTGACATTATTATGTGAGCTTACTTTTCTGTTTGCATTAGCGTAGGGAGAATCACGTTCATCTCTCAGTGTTAATATGCAGAGTTAAATCTCAGATCTTTTCATTTTAATTTTATGTAACTATAAATTGCTTAAGCCCAAAATAGCAAATAATTTTCATTAATTCACTCATGGAAATCTGTAAGCTCTTCTCACCATTTTGATTGTAAATTTTTTATATTATATAACTGATTCTTGATTCATTGTTCATTTACATAAGAAAGATAAGAGCCCTGTGACTTTTGGAGTCTATCATTGTTTACAATGGCTTCCTTCAAAAACTCTGTGTTACTGATTCTGTTGACAATTGCTCTTGTTTTAGTCGCTGAAGCAGTTCAGGAACGCCGAGCAATACCATTGGAAGAAGAGAAGAAAGACCTGAAGAAACAACTCAAAGCTATCAACAAACCTGCGATCAAGAGTTTCAAGGTTTGGCCTAATAGCATGCCTTGCTGAAAAAGCACGACTTGAGTTTATAAATTTATGAGTATAATAGCTTATAAAAACCCTTTTTCCAATTTTCCTTTCGAACAGACTAATCAGGGTGAAATATTCGATTGTATCGACATTCACAAGCAGTTAGCCTTTGATCATCATCTTCTCAAAAACCACTCTGTTCAGGTTTTGCTTTTTCTACAAAATTCTCTCTTCCTTTCTGGTCTCTTGTATCCAAGATGAAGTATTTATACAAGCTCTTGTTGACGTTATGGACACATTGGCGTATATACAGCTGAAACCAACAAGTGTACCTGAATGGATCACAGGAAACAACATTTCACAGAAAGTTGGTCCCTTGCAGCTTCTGCCAAAGGGCATAAGTTGTCCAGATGGAACAGTAATTGTTAAAAGGACTACAATGCAAGATCTTCTACAAGCGCAGCATTTAAAATCCATTGGATTCAATTACCAAAGACATGTTCATACAGAGGAGAATAACATTGATTTAACTGGACATCATGTAAGAGCCCTTACTTCGCAAGTATAATAAAACACCATTTCTCTGCTTCTGGTTTTCTTAGTATCTTTGTTCTATATGGATATTAGTTTGCAACGGTCGACTATAGACATAGCACAGTTTATGGAGTAAAAGGAAACCTCAACCTCTGGGATCTACAAGTGTCACAAGGTCAAGTTAGTCTTGCAACCATGGCTATTGCCGGAGGTCCTTTAGAACAACTCGCCAGTATTTCTGTTGGGTGGATGGTAAGTCAAGTTTCCATTAGTGTTTTTTTTTTCTTTCCCAAATGTTACATGAATGTTGAGTTGAGAAAAATGTTTGAGAACATATGTATAAATATATTCTGCAGGTGAATCCAGTATTGTACCAAGATCACATTCACTTATATACCTACTGGACTGTAAGTTTTTTGATTAACTTTCAAAATTTACGCTAATATCTTTTCAACTTTCCGGTGGTTCTTAGTGCTGTGTGTATGGCGGTTGATTCAAACAGGCCGATGGATATAACAAGACAGGCTGCAACGACATAAGATGTCCTGGATTTGTGCAAGTAAGCAAGAGGATACCACTTGGTGTCCTTCTTCAACCAGTTTCAGTTTATGATGGTATATAAAAAGAAATGGACTTGAGCTTACATCAGGTAAAAAAACTTCCATACTCTCTCTCTCTCTGGTGATCTCTTCTCTTAAGTCATTTGAATATTCTTATTCTTAAAACCTGGTGCAGGATCCTACCACGGGAGATTGGTGGTTTGTATTTGGAGGTGAGAACGTTGGGTACTGGCCACAGTCATTGTTCATAGGTTCAGGCTTAGCTAAAGGAACACAGCTTGCATCTTGGGGAGGTTAAGTGTACAGTCCATTGACAGAGAAGAGTCCATTTATGGGCAGTGGGCATTTTCCAAAGGAAGGTTTTAGCAAAGAAGCCTTTATAAACGGTATTCAAATCATCGATGGTTCTGGAAAAGCTTTGATTCCACAAATTTATACTATAAAGACTCATGAGAGCAGTCCAAATTGTTATAAAGCCAACTTTATTCATGATGACGATGATCCTTGGATAAGAGCTGTTTTCTATGGAGGTCCTGGCGGTTGTACAGGGCAATTGTCATCTCAAGAGTCACAATGTCTCAAGACTACATAGATTTGAAATGTATCAAAGCATCACTTATGCTTTTATGAATAATCAAATATTGGGATTTTAGAATTTCCAAGCACCAACATTGATGCTTCTTTTGAGTTGAGTGCAAACTCACCTGAAAGTACATAATAAAAAAAAAAGTTTGTTGTCTGCAAAATCATGCAACTGTAGCCAAATTGTAAATGTCACATCACAATGATCAGATTATCATAAGTGATCATCTTGTCTCCTAAAATGTCTCTTTCATTATAAGATTAAGGAGCTGCTGTACAGTTAAGACGTCTAATAGATTACAAGTTCTAAGCAAATCAATAAGTTTTATACGGACTGTTTTTACTTCCTAAATTTACTTTAACAGCTTTTTACTTAAAAGATACGTTAAAAAAACATAGTATAAGGTTGCGCTTTCTAGGGTTAGGGTTTCCTCGATCTCTTCCAACACACTATATATACATAGCTATATACCGATTAGGGTTTGCTCGATTTATTCAATAGTTTCATCTCACTCGGTTTCCATCACGTCGATTGGTGTCAGAGCAACGAATGATGTAGAGTAACTAATCGTCGCTCTGATACCAATTGATGCAATGGGAACATCGATATTGCCAGATTCTGTATTTTGTTAGTTTGTCGTCATCGCATCTAATGTCTCTCAAGCCTTGACTGGCTGAAGAAGACGAGTTAAAGTCAGAACATGATATTTAGAAAGAGGACTGTAATTTAGTTTCTCCCTTTTGATTTTCCGACTAATTCGAATTTCAGTATTTACATACTACAGCTTCCTCACATATTGATCTAAAGTTTTACGGGTTTCTTTTCTTACAGTAGAGCTGACATTAATGTTGAGAAGCTCGAGATTCGATTGTTCTTGTTTTTGTAGCATGATTTTCTTCGAACTTACATATTCTTATTCAGGAATGTTACTATGATCTTACATATATTTGAACTATGCTATATTTGTTTTTTTTCTCCACAAAACATCACTTTTGTGTATTGCCTAGAAATTGGTAAATGTATAGTTCGATTCTTGTCGACCTGATCAGATCATGTTAGTTGATTTCACTTACTTTCTAAGATGAAGAAAAGACTATGAATAAAACTGTAAAATGGGCACTCTCTGGCTAATTACGTCATTGATGCCATGTGTTTCAGTTGATTTGTTTCACATTATGAGCTTAATTGTAAATACCATTTGAAGTTTTTGTTCTTGATATGTATGTTTTTTTTGTATTGTTTTTGGCTTTATATTCTGGTCATTAAGATATCACTAACATTTTGAGATGAAGAAAGACTATGAAAGAGGCTACAAAATGGACAATCTATGCCCAATTATGTCTTTGATTTTGCCTTTGTTTTGTCAGTTTGTATTTTGTTTCACACTGTGGGCTTAGTTGTAGATCTCATTTGAAATTCGTGTTCTTCATAGTCTTGTCATTTTTTATTCATTTAATCCTTTCTTTGAGACACTTTGCTCAGCACAAGAGCAATCTCAATAGAGACACTAGTAATGAGATCTTATTGATTAATTATTAATATTTTATGCATTTTATGTATATTAGACATTTTGTAATATTTAATTGTTTTTAGGCATACAATGGATATATCTTTGATGGATGTCTTAAAAAAAATTATTTTAAAAATAAATAAATTTAAGTACACTTATCTTAACAACTTTTAAAACATAATACATCTTAAGTCTTAACAACTCTTAACATTTTAACTAGGCCTGGGTAAAAAATCTGGACCCGAAAACCCGAACCGGAACCGACCTGAAATAACCGGTTCAGATCGGGTTCGGTTATTATCAAATTACTCGACGGGTATTAATGGATTTAATGGTTCTTGGTTCTTGATATTGGTTCTTGGATGTGTTATTGGTTCTTGTATTTTAATGGATTTGAGAATACAAACCAAATTCAGTGTTATTGGTTCTTGTATTTTAAAATTTATATTGAAATACAGTGTTATTGGTTCTGTGATTTTAAAATCCATAATGAAATACAATGTTATTGGTTCTATCATTTTAGAATCTAAATATTATAAGGATTTGAGTTTTAATTGAATTTGAATGGATTTGGAAGGATTTTTATGACTAAAATACAAAGACCCAAATACAAGGTCTAACCTTGGTATTTGAGTAGATTTGAGTTTTTTCTATTTTGCTGATTTTGAAATCAATAAATTTATCAAATCCAAAGAAGATTTATAAATCCACCAAAATACAAAAACCAATAACCCCTACTAAGTTTAAGAACCGTGGATATCGGGTCGGTTCCGGTTCCTACCCGATACCCGATCGGTTAAACCGAAATTATACACTTAGAGTTTGTAGAGCAATTTCCCGTTGAACCAGATGGACCCAGATGTCAATCTACATACCGTTTCGTAGGTCTCGCAGTCAGCTATTCAGAACTTCTGTTCGTTTTCGATTCCGAAATATATTCAATCCGAAAATCAATTTACAAATTAACGAAAAATATCAGTATTTCTTGAAAATATCAGTTTTTATTCGGATATTTGGTTACATTTCGGGTATATGGTTATTTTTTCACTGATTTCGGGTCTAATCGGATATAAAAAATCGGAACCGAACCAAAAATTATAAAAAACCGATTTTTTCGGAAACTAAACGGTTCTAAAATTTAAGAACCGAACCGACCCGGAACCGAACCGAACCCGAATCGAAATCTTTTCGGTACCTCTATGGATATAAAATTCTCTTACTCGAAAGTACCGGAACCGACCCGAATATCCGACTGTCCAGGCCTAATCTTAACAATTTTTAAAACATAATAAATGGCAAAAAAAAAAATTCATTTCTCCGTGTCCACTCAAAACTTGCCACGTGGCTGTTCTTAACAAAAAAAAAGATCCTAATTTGGATACTGGTCTTAAATTTTAAACACCATTTACAATTTTTTTATTCTATTATATTGTTAAGAACCATGCTTTAGACCCTTGAAGATCACCATTAGGGTTGGTCTAAGTAGGGGTTATTGGTTCTTGTATTTTGTTGGATTTAGAAATTTTCTTTGGATTTGATAAATTTATTGATTTCAAAATCAGCAAAATGGAAAAAAAAAATCCACTCAAATACCAAGGTTAGACCTTGTATTTGAGTCTTTGTACTTTAGTCATGAAAATCTTTCCAAATCCATTCAAATTCAATTAAAACTCAAATCTTTATAATATTTAGATTTTAAAATGATCGAACCAATAACACTGTATTTCATTATAGATTTTAAAATCATAGAACCAATAACACTGTATTTTAATATATATTTTAAAATACAAGAACCAATAACACTGAATTTGATTTGGATTCTTAAATCCATTAAAATATAAAAACCAATAACACTTCCTAAGAATTACTTTTATTAAAGTTTGCTCATTCGTAATAATGGCTCACTTAAGGATCCTCACAAGCAAGCCACTTGCCACTCACTTTTTGTAGGTTCTTTATAGGTTTCAATGTTTTATGATTTTTATTTTATAAATGGTTTTAGTCTTTTTTAGATGTGTTTCCTGCTTTAATTAATGGTTTCAGATTTTTCCATTTCCTTTACGATTTTATTAATGGTTTCGGACCATATATAGATATCGTTTAAGATCCTTGATTTTCCATGATAGCCGTTGTTAGTTATTAATTGATGGTTTCTGAGTAACGTGGCACCATATATATACAGTAGTTGATTTGCTTCATTTATCTTCTTAGAAAGACTTATTTGTTTGGTTGCCATGAGTTCCTCTAAAACGTTTTTTCTGCTGACATTTTCTGCAGTAGCTCTAATTTTAGTTGCCGAGAGTTACAGAGAAACACCATTAATAGAGCAGGAAAAGGAGATGGAGACATTACTCAACCATATCAATAAACCTGCAATCAAGAGCTTCCAGGCAAAATTTAGCCTTCCAACAAATTAACATGATACCATCTTGTTCATAATTTTTGGCTTGTTTATGCGACACATGAATCACTTTCTTTTCAGATCACCTCGACTTTATTGCATTGTATTTATGTAGACCAAACATGGTGACATACTGGATTGCATCGACATTCATATCATCCTCTGCTCAAGAACCATACTATTCAGGTTTTTATTTAAGAAGTTCCCTAGAAATTCCAAAAAGGATCTATGTTTCTGAATGTTATTGAATTATGTATGATGTGCAGATGAGGCCTACATGGAACTTAAACAACAATAATAATCCAAAAAATGGTGGTTCCTTGCCGTGTAAGCAAGATGGGATAAGTTGTCCACTTGGGACAGTGGTTGTTAAGAGGACCACACAGGAATATCTTATACAAGCTCAGCGTTCGAAATACATGGGTTTCAACCATGCAAGATATGATTCCTCAAATGACATCCAACACCATATGCTAATACATTCTCTTCTATTTCACTTGCAATGAGAATTAAATCACTTATTTGTACTCGTTGTATTCTAGTTTGCGACCACTGAGTATAGATATTACAATTTTGGAGCAAAAGTAAACCTTAGCATTTGGGAACCAGAAGTTTCACCCACTCAGTTCAGTTCTGAGAGTCTGCTTATGGCAGATGGCTCTAAAGAACAGTTTCAAGGCATTAGAGCTGGATGGATAGTAAGTCAGGATCTTAAATTTGGGTTTTGATTTCATTCATTATTTATTACATTATTTCTTATATCAACCAATATTTGCCTCAGGTGTACCAATGGTTGAACAGGAATCACACTCGCTTATACACCATACACCTTTTTATGAAATAACATCTTGACTTTTCTTCCATTCTCATGCTTTGTCGTCTTGTATTCTTTAATTTGATTTTAAAACAGGCAGATGGATTTATTAAAACAGGTTGCTACAATTTGTTATGTCCTGGTTTTGTACAAGTGAGCAAGAGGATCCCACTCGACATCCTTCTTCAACATGTTTCTACTTATGGTGGCGAAATATTTGACGTAGGGATCAGCATCTATAAGGTAGCACAACTTCCTCAAACTCGATCATATAAAAGTATGAAGTCCCATGAAAGTGTGCCAAATTTACCAAAACTTATGCTCTATATATGTTAATGAGAATGTGCTTTGTGTTTCTCTTAGTCATTTGAATGAATTCGTGACTGTCCAAATTAGCAGTTGTATATGTAACAAGTGCATGTTTAAACAGGAGGGAAACACAAGAAATTGGTGGTTGGTGGTGTACGATGAAAAAGTTGGATACTGGCCAAACTCATTGTTCACACAAGCAGGCTTAGCCCATGGAGCAAGTTTGTTATCATATGGAGGAGAAGTATACAGTCCAGTGAACGAGAAGGCTACAAGCATGGGAAGTGGCCATTTTCCGAGTGAAGGTTACAAGAAGGCAGCCTATGTGAATGGTTTGCGAGTGGTCAATAACCATGGAGATCTCGTATTTTGGAAGCCACTTTTTCATGTAACGTTATTCTCAAGCAACCCAAATTGTTACAAAGTAAAAAAGAAACGAGGCCGTCATAGTGAAGTTTGGGAAGAAGGTATCTTCTATGGAGGACCAGGAGGATGTGTTTAACATGTCTTTAAAATCTCTTCTCTTTTATGTATCTCTGTTTTCCAGTTTTAAATTTGAAAAATAAAACCAAAGTTACTTACTCATCAACTTTCTTTTGTGAGATTTGAGAGAGATACAAAAATGTTTTGGTGTGTGTTTCATTAGATATTAAATATCTCAGAGGTGTTAAATTTTAATAGCAGCAATAAACCTCATTAATGCATTCAAATTGGATAAGTGAAGGACGTTTATTTTTGTTTTTTGGAAGCGAATGTTAAATTTATTCAAGAAAAAAAAACTGTTTTAACATGTTCTGTAAGTTGTAACGTTAGAAGAAATTAATGAAGAAGGCTGTTTGACTGTAAGCTGTATAAATGGATTTAGAAAGAGACACTTGTTAGTGCTTCGTAAGTATCAATGGTCTCAAATTTAGTGTGACACCATATATTAGAAGAAATTAACATTTTCTGTAAGTTGTAACGTTAGAAGAAATTAATGAAGAAGGCTGTTTGACTGTAAGCTGTATAAATGGATTTACAAAGAGACACTTGTCAGTCATTGTAGTGCTTCGTAAGTTTCAATGCAATGGTCTCAAATTTATTGTGACACTATATATATATTGTTTTGCTGTCATTGAACTTTTGTCAAAGATAGTTAAGACTTAAAGCCTTGATTTTCTAGATTATTAGTTTCTTCCATGATTTCCTCTAATAAGATTATTCTGCTGACTTTTTCAGCAGTAGCTCTAATTTTAGTTGCCGAGGGTCACAGAAAAATACTATTGGAAGAGGATGAAAAAGAGCTGGAGAGATTACTCAACTATATCAATAAACCTGCAATCAAGAGCTTCCAGGTAAAAGTTAGGCTACAAATATGATATTATGTTCATAGGTTTTGGCTTGTTTATGCGACAAGAATCACTTTTATTTTCAGATCACCTCAAGTTTATTTATTCGTAATTATGTAGACTGAACATGGTGACATATTGGACTGCATCGACATTCATAAGCAGCTAGCCTTTGATCATCCTCTGCTCAAGAACCATACCATTCAGGTTTTAGTTTCCTACTACAAGTAGAATTTCTTGAAGATGCACTATACTTTCACGATGCTTCCTAAAAGATCTAAGTTTCTGAATTTTGATGTGCAGTTGCGGCCTACAACTATACCTAAATGGACCATAAATAATTCTCAAAAAGGTGGTTCCCTGCCGTTTCTACAAGATGGGATAAGTTGTCCAAATGGGACAGTGGTTGTCAAGAGAACCACACATGAAGATCTTATACAAGCTCAGCGCTTGAAATCCATGGGGTTCAACTATGCAAGATATGTTTCTTCAGAGGGCACGAACATAGATTTAACTGGTTTTCATGTATAAACCATATATGCTAATACATTATCTTCTCCTTCACGTTGAGCCTTTTCTCACCTACAATAACCATTTAAGCACTTATTTGTTCTATTTATATATATCTTAGTTTTCCGTGGGAGAGTACAAATATACCCATTATGGAGCAAAAGGAAACCTTAACTTATGGGAACCAGAAGTTTCACCTACTCAGTTCAGTGCTGCAAGTATGCTTATCGCTAAAGGCGCTAAAGAAAAGTTTCAATGCATTAGAGCTGGATGGATAGTAAGTCATGACTCGTAATATGTTGCATTTTCTTTTGCTTTCTCATCAACTTTCATTTTTCTCTTATATCCCTCAGGTGTACCAATGGCTGAACCGGAACCACACTCGCCTATATACCTACTGGACTGTATGTTTTCATAACTTATAAGAGCTTTATGTAGAAGATCTTGCATTTTCATGTCATTCTCAAGCTATGTCTTGTATTATTTGATTCAAAACAGGCCGATGGATTTACCAAGACAGGTTGCTACAATTTGCTATGTCCTGGTTTTGTGCAAGTGAGCACTAAAATCCCTCTCGGTTTCCTTCTTCAACCAGTTTCTACCTATGGTGGCCAACAATATGAATTAGAGATCAGCATCTATGAGGTAGCACTAGCTTCCTCAAACTCGGATCATTTGAAAGTTTATGTCCCATACCAAAACTTGAGTCCCCATGTTATTGGGAATGTGCATTGTTTTACTGTAGTAAACTTGAGTGAATATGTAAGGTCCAAATTAACAGATGTTATATGTAATAACACTTGTCTAAGCAGGATGGCAAAACAGAAGATTGGTGGTTGGTGGTGTTTGGGGAACATGTTGGATACTGGCCAAACTCACTGTTCACAGAAGGAGGATTATCCCATGGAGCAAGTTTGGCATCATATGGAGGAGAAGTATACAGTCCACTGAACGAGAAGACTCCAAGCATGGGAAGTGGGCATTTCCCGAGTGAAGGTTACCATAAGGCAGCCTATGTGAATGGTATTGAAGTGGTCTATGATATTGGGGGCACAGCTTCGAGGCCACCATTGTATACTATAAAGACATCCTCAAGTACACCAAATTGTTACATATCAGAAATGAAACCAAATACTCCTGAAGTTTGGTTAGACGCTCTCTTCTATGGAGGACCAGGGGGTTGCACATTCTAGTTAGCTGTGTTTGAGATCTCTCCTCATTAAGTATGAAGCTTGTTTTGTGAGAACTAACAGAGCTACAGGAATGTTTAATTGGGAATAATTGAATGAATTATGTTGGAAAAGATTATGAAAGCAGAAAATTTTATATAGGGCAAGTACAAAGTAGCTTGTTTCAGAGTTGTTAATTCTAAAAGGGCAAATAGATTATGAAAGCTACTTTGTAAAATAACTTCTTAGAGAAGATAATGAAAGCTATATTGTACTTTGTAAAGTATTTCCGTTGGGAAGATAGTAGGTGGATTTCTGGTTAATTCCTTTGCTGTTAGTAAGTCAAATGATTAATCTGAAGTTGACAAAAAAAGTCTGAAATATGTGATATGCACAACATGTGAGTCCAAAGTGATCGTGTTCCTATTGGACTGTAAGTTTTGAGTTACCAGTAAAAATTATAATATTCATCTTTTGCGAGATTTTAGTGTTAGATATGTATATGCCTCATTTTACTGGGCATCGAAAAAGTACATGTATCAAAATGGATTTTCCCCCTTTTTTTATATTACAAATCAAATCTATCATATCTCACTATAATTTCAATTTTATATTGTTCTATATAGGCATATAAATCGGACTGGCCATCCAAATCTGGCTCAAAACTCTTAAAATCCGGATATATTTAAACACGGCAAAAAAAAACATCGGATTTAATCTAGCCCGGCCCTAATAGGATTATAGAACCTTTTTTTTTAACTTTTTTGGATTTTTTTTAAATAAAAAAATATATTTAAAAATACATAATAAATAAAAAAATAAATTTAAATTAAAAAATATTCATATAGTTTTATAAAATCTAATCCAAGTTAAAAACAAAAATATGTTCTTAATAAATTCAATTAATTTTAATATAAAATATCAATATAACTTAAATATGCCTCAAATCTAAATAGTAAAGATTATATATTCGAATATAAATCCAATTTAATCAGATATTTATAATTAAAAAATTATAGTTTTCATAATAATTAAGAAAATTATAAATTATTATTTTAAACAAAATAATTCTTTAATAAAAGTCTCTAAATATTTTATAGAATATAAATTAAAAAGATTTTCAGGTAAATCCAGACCTGGTCGAACTTAAATCTAAAAATCTATAAACCGAATGAGCATGATCCGAAAGGCATGATTTTTTTGGGTTTCTATACCAAAACTCATGCTCGGTATTTTGCAAGGCCGAGCTGAGCAAGACTTCAGATTTTGGTCCAAATTAAGATCTCTAATTCTATATACATTTAACATTCAAAATTTTAAAAGAAAATTAAAATAATGTTCTTGTTACATTTTCTATTTTCAATTTTTTCTATTTTAAATTAATTTGTTTCAACTGTAAATTATTGCATACAATCATGATTCTTGAATATGTTTTTTTTTAATCTTAAAGAAAAACAATATACAAATATATTATATGCTGACTTTAGTGTAAGATCTTATTACAAGAAGTTGAAACTCTTACATAGTTTTGGTAATGTATTTCTCTTAACAACTAATGTAAATTGATTTTTAACTTTGAAATTGTACAAATACAATAAAGATTTATTTTCCCTTAAAACTCATATATAAACACATTCTCAAATTTTAAATAGGAGCAATCTCAATTTTTTTTAAGAGGTATGTATAAAGTTTGTAGAAGTTGTATTATTTCTTACTGCACATGGAGAGTGTATATATATATATATACATACTACAAGGAACACCTAGGATATTTGATGACAGTTAATGAGAATCTAAACTATATACAAAATTAGAACCTTATAGATATGAATATCCTTATAGTATGAAATAAACAAGCATGATACATAGACTCTAATGTAAAACTTTCTTGTTTTGTTTAGGTAAACACCTTATATATAATCTTTCGTTTGCAGAAAGAACGATAAAGATAAACTTTTGGAGAATCAATGGCTTCCTTCGACAAATTTGTGTTACTGGTTCTGTTAACAATCACTCTTATTGTAGTCAATGAAGCAGCTCAGGATCGCAGGGCAATACTATCGGAAGAAGAGAAGAAGAAGATGCAACTAAAAGCTATCAACAAACCTGCGATCAAGAGTTTTAAGGTTTGGCCTAATATATCCTGCATAGTTCCTGACTGCTTACATTATGTATCATATCTAATCATTTTTGATTTTTAACAGACAGAAAATGGTGATATATTCGATTGTATCGACATTCACAAACAACTAGCCTTTGATCATCCTCTGCTCAAAAACCACTCTGTTCAGGTTTTTTTTTTTTTTTTTTTGCTTTCTTACACATACATAGTTCTCTCTTCGTTTCCTTTCTTTAAAATCAAAAGAGAATTATTGACTTTGTGAAACGCATTGGCCCACCATATATTAGAAGAAATTAACATTTTCTGTAAGTTGTAACGTTAGAAGAAATTAATGAAAAAGGCTGTTTGACTGTAAGCTGTATAAATGGATTTCGAAAGAGACACTTGTCAGTCATGGTAGTGCTTCTTTAGTATCAATGGTCTCAAATTTATTGTGACACTATATATTCTTTTGCTGTTCATTGAACTTTTTGCAAAGATAGTTAAGACTTAAGAGCCTTGATTTTCTAGATTATTAGTTTCTGCCATGATTTCCTCTAATAAGCTTGTTCTGCTGACTTTTTCAGCAGTAGCTCTAATTTTAGTTGCCGAGAGTCACAGAAAAATACTATTGGAAGAGGATGAAAAAGAGCTGGAGAGATTACTCAACTATATCAATAAATCTGCAATCAAGAGCTTCCAGGTAAAAGTTAGGCTTTCTACAAATATGAAATTATGTTCATAGGTTTTGGCTTGTTTATGCGACAAGAATCACTTTTATTTTCAGATTGCCTCAAGTTTGTTTCTACGTAATTATGTAGACAGAACATGGTGACATATTGGACTGCATCTACATTCATAAGCAGCTAGCCTTTGATCATCCTCTGCTCAATAACCATACTATTCAGGTTTTAGTTCCCTATTACAAGTAGAATCTCTTGAAGATCTACAACTATACTTTCAAGATGCTTCCTAAAAGATCTAAGTTTCTGAATTTTGATGTGCAGTTGCGGCCTACAACTATACCTAAATGGACCATAAACAACCACAACAATTCTCAAAAAGGTGGTTCCCTACCGTTTCTACAAGATGGGATAAGTTGTCCAAATGGGACAGTGGCTGTCAAGAGAACCACACATGAAGATCTTATACAAGATCAGCGCTTGAAATCCATGGGGTTCAACTATGCAAAATATGTTTCTTCAGAGAGCAGGAACATAGATTTAACTGGTTTTCATGTATTAACCATATATGCTAATACATTATCTTCTCCTTCACGTTGAGCCTTTTCTCACCTACAATAACCATTTAAGCACTTATTTGTTCTCTATATATATATCCTAGTTTGCCGTGGGAGAGTACAAATATCACCATTATGGAGCAAAAGGAAACCTTAACGTATGGGAACCAGAAGTTTCACCTACTCAGTTCAGTGCTGCAAGTATGCTTATCGCTAAAGGTGCTATTGAAGACTTTCAATGCGTTAGAGCTGGATGGATAGTAAGTCATGACTCATAATATGTTGCATTTTCTTTTGCTTTCTCATCAACTTTCATTTTTTTTCTTATATCCCTCAGGTGTACCAATGGCTGAACCGGAACCACACTCGCCTATATACCTATTGGACTGTATGTTTTCATAACTTATAAGCTTTATGAAGAAGATCTTGCATTTTCATGTCATTCTCAAGCTATGTCTTGTATTATTGGATTCAAAACAGGCCGATGGATTTACCAAGACAGGTTGCTACAATTTGCTATGTCCTGGTTTTGTGCAAGTGAGCACTAAAATCCCTCTCGGTTTCCTTCTTCAACCAGTTTCTACCTATGGTGGCCAACAATATGAATTGGGGATCAGCATCTATAAGGTAGCACTGGCTTCCTCAAACTCGGATCATTTGAAAGTTTATGTCCTATACCAAAACTTGAGGCTCCATGTTATTGGGAATGTGCATTGTTTTACTGTAGTAAACTTGAGTGAATATGTAAGGTCCAAATTAACAGATGTTATATGTAATAATAACACTTGTCTAAGCAGGATGGCAAAACAGGAGATTGGTGGTTAGTGGTGTTTGAGGAACATGTTGGATACTGGCCAAACTCACTGTTCACAGAAGGAGGATTATCCCATGTAGCAACTTTGGCATCATATGGAGGAGAAGTATACAGTCCACTGAAGGAGAAGACTCCAAGCATGGGAAGTGGGCATTTCCCGAGTGAAGGTTACACGAAGGCAGCCTATGTGAATGGTATCGAAGTGGTCGATGATATTGGGGGCACAGCTTCGAGGCCACCAATGTTTACTGTAAAGACATCCTCAAGCACCCCAAAGTGTTACAAATCAGAAAAGAAACCAGGTACTCTTGAAGTTTGGTACGACGCTTTCTTCTATGGAGGACCAGGAGGTTGCACATCCTAGTTAGCTGTGTTTAAGATCTCTCCTCATTAAGTATCCTCAGTTTATGTTAAAAACATAAAACATATGCTCGTGAAGCTTGGTTTGTGAAAATTATCAGAGCTACAAGAATGTTTAACTGGGATTAATTAAATGAAGAATTGAATTATGTTGGAAAATGAGGCATATACATAACATTCAAAAGTTTAAGAAAAGAAAATTAAAATAGTGTTCTTGTTACATTTTCTATTTTGAATTTTCTCCATTTTAAATTAATTTGTTTCAACTGTAAATTATGTCATGCAATCTTGATTCTTGAATATGTTTTTTTTTAATTTTAAAAAGAAACAATATACAAATATATCAGAAGAAGTAGAAACTCTTACATAGTTTTGGTAATGTATTTCTCTTAACAACTAATGTAAATTGATTTTTAACTTTGAAATTATTCAAATACAATAAAATAAAGCTTTATTTCCCCTTAAAACTCATATATAAACACATTCTCAAATTTTAAATAGGAGCAATCTCAATTTTTTTTAAGAGGTATGTATAAAGTTTGTAGAAGTTGTATTATTTCTTATTACACATGGAGAGTGTATATATACATACTACAAGGAACAACTAGGATATTTGATGTCAGTTAATGAGAATCTAAACTATACATAATTAGAACCTTATACTGTAGATATGAATATCCTTGTAGTATGAAATAAAGAAGCCTTATACATAGACTCTATGGCTTATATACAATCTTTCGTTTGCAGAAAGAACGACAAAGATAAACTTTTGGAGAATCAATGGCTTCCTTCAACAAATTTGTGTTACTGGTTCTGTTAACTATCACTCTAATTGTAGTCAATGAAGCAGCTCAGGATCCCAGGGCAATACCATCGGAAGAAGAGAAGAAAGAACTGAAGATGCAACTAAAAGCTATCAACAAACCTGCGATCAAGAGTTTTAAGGTTTGGCCTAATATATCCTGCATAGTTCCTGAATGCTTACATTATGAATCATATCTAATCATTTTTGACTTTTTAACAGACAGAAAATGGTGATATATTCGATTGTATCGACATTCACAAACAACTAGCCTTTGATCATCCTCTGCTCAAAAACCACTCTGTTCAGGTTACACATACATAGTTCTCTCTTCATTTCCTTTCTTTTATATCAAAAGAGAATTATTGTCTTTGTGAAACGCATTGGCTTACGTGCAGATGAAGCCAACAACTGAACCTAAATGGACCACCAACAGCAACATTTCAGGGAGAATCGATCCTTTGCAGCATCTGCAAGAGAGCATAAATTGTCCAGATGGAACAGTAGTTGTTAAAAGGACTACAATGAGCGATCTTATCAATGCAAAGCGTTTGAAATCAATGGGATTCCATGGCCCAAGACATTTTTCATACCGAGAGCAACAACACTGCAACACCAAATGACGATGCAACTGGAAATTTTTATGTAAGGACCCTTATAAGTTTGAGAGTACCATCAAACACACCATTTTCCCAAGTTTCTTGTTCTTAGTTTCTTTTGATCCTTTATGTGATGTTGTTAGGTTGCAGCGGTTGAATTTGGACCTCAAAGTATATCTGGAGTAAAAGGACATGTTAACGTTTGGGATCCACAAGTCTCGCAAAACCAAATCAGTCTTGCCTTCATATCAGCAGCTGGGGGACCTACAGTAAAATTCGTCAGCCTTTTCGTTGGGTGGATGGTAAGTTATTTTCTTGTTCTTTTTGATATTTGTAAGTGATGACATGAATATGAAAGTTGACAACATATTTTTGGAATATGTAAATATTCAACAGGTGAATCCAACTCTGTCCCAATCCTCACAAGATCATGCTCGCTTATACACTTACTGGACTGTAAGTTTTGAGTTATATACCAGTAAGAGCATTTGCGCTAATGTTTCTTCAGCCTCTTAGGGTTTTATACGTGTATGCTTGGGCCAACAGGTAGATGGAGGCAAGTCCGGCTGCTACGACTTATACCGACAAAGCATCATAGATTATTATCATTTTTGATACCGACAAAATGATTAGTTAGCTAGAAATGAGGATTCTATTGCTAAAGCTTTCTTTTGATTGATTATTTATATCTCAAAAGCTTCTTTGAACTGTATCATGTCTTATATAGACTATACCTCTATGCATAGCATAGCCTACCCCTACTCTTTACCCCTACACTCTTAAAGACAAGTAAATATATAAGATAATGTCTGAACTTCAAAGCTCTCTGCAGCTTCCTGTGTTAGACTTAACACAACCAATTCAGTCCTCTGTTCTGTCTTCTCTCTCTCAAGCTTGTGGAGACTGGGGATTTTTCTATGTCACCAATCATGGAATCTCTAAAGAGATGTTCAATAGAGTCTATTCCTTATCTAGAGATGTATTCAGTGTTCCTCTTGAATCAAAGCTCAAGCTTGGTTCCTTTTCATATACTCCTCGGTTCATCGCCTCTCCTTATTTCGAAAGCCTTGTCGTCTCTGGACCTGATTTCTCCGGTTCTGCAAAAGCTTCTGCAGATGTTTTGTTCCAAGATCATCATAAACCAGAGTTAAGGTTGTCACTACAACACAAATCAATGTCTTTCTTCTTCATTCTATTTGTGGCTTGACACTCTTACTTCTTCTCTCTTTTTCTTTTCCAGAGACACACTGCAAGAATACGGTGCTAAAATGGCGGAATTGTCCCAAAGACTCTTGAAGATACTCTTGATGATGACCTTAGGAGACGAAACCGGGAAGAGATGCTATCAAAATGAGTTTAGCAACTGTCATGGATACTTAAGACTAGTGAACTACACACCTCCACACGACGTAGAGAAGCACGAAGAGCTCGTTGAAGGTCTTGGCATGCACACGGATATGAGCTGCATAACAATAGTCTATCAAGATTCAGTTGGTGGACTGCAGATGAGGTCTAAGGAAGGGAAATGGATCGATATAAATCCGTGCGAGAATCTCCTTGTTGTTAACATCGGAGATCTCATGCAGGCGTGGAGTAACGGACGGCTGAGATCTTCTGAACATCGAGTTGTATTGAGAAAGCTGGTGAACAGAGTCTCTCTGGCGTTTTTCCTCTGTTTTGAGGATGAGAAAGTGATACTTGCGCCGAAAGAAATCGTTGGGGAGGGAAACTGCAGGAGCTACAAGTCGTTTAAGTGTTTGGAGTATCTGAATTTCAGACAGAGTAATGAAGTAGGCAAGTTTGAGAGGATTGGTTACACTGTCAAAGACTTTGCTGGACTCAAGTTGCCTCAACCTGATGATCCTTACCAGGAAAAACCCGGTATATAGGTTTAGAAATCACTAAACCGGTACTGGTTGAGAATGAAGTTACAATTGTTGTGACTTGTGAGTGTCATGCAATATCAAAATATTAGGTAGTGGAATCCAAAGCTACTTTTTGTTTCTATCTATTTCTAACTTTTGTGTAGAAAACCTTTGTCTGAGTCTTTCTATTACCATCTAAAGTAATAATAATGCTTCACAGGTTTTTTATTTTAACATGTTTATTCAAAGTGGGACTATATTAGTCAAGCCTGATTCACTTAAAAATGGTGAACAAAGAAGCATAAGTGTGACCCACATATGATTGTGTCCTGAAAAGGATTTAGGCAGCACTAAACACTACTTTCTTACTTAGATCTTATAGTTTGTCTAATCCAATTTGATTTATACAAAGTAGTTTAAAGGTCGACCTTTTTTGTTCTTTATGACGTGCTTGAGCATAAGTCTGTCTCACTCACTGAATACTTTCTACAATAAACCATAGTCATTGAGAGAAATCTATAGAAAATAAATGATGTTCAACGCAAATGGTTTTAGACAGCTGAAAGTTGACAGACAGATATCATCTGCAAAGTCTAAAATGACGAAGAAGAAAGCTCTAGATGGAGTACCAAAAACGAGTTTTCTAGAATGTTAAATCAATGGCATATAATGACAAAATTATTCTTCACTAAGACAAAGTTCTACTGCAGATGCCTCAGCGCTGTGAGGTTCTTGATGAAGAGGACCTCGAGCCGCTTCCAAACGCAGAACTGCCTTCTTCTCTGCGCCAAACATCACCACCAGGTCGCTCGCTGCCTTCAGGGCCACTTCCGTTTCTCCAGTGCTCTCCTTCAGCAGGTGCTGGTGGTGGTGCCGGTGCAGACCCTGAAACTTCAGTGGCTTGTCTACGCCTGAAATTCGGAATGTATTTTCCAGGCTTGCGAGCTTCCTCTTCACGCTTACGAGCTTCCTCTTCACGCTTGCGAGCTTCCTCTTCACGCCTACGAGCTTCCTCTTCAAGCCTACGAGCTTCCTCTTCTTCCTGCAGCCTTGTTCTTCTTTCCACTTCAAGTTTCATATAATATATCTGTTTTCTCTTAACATCCCTCTGCTGTTTCCTGGCTCGAATTTTTTGGCCAATACGCTCCTCTCTCTCTGTCCGTAGCCTGTCAAACTCAGCTGCTCGAGGACTAATCACTCTCTCTTGGAATATTTCCTAGAAACAAAAAAGATTTGATTTTTGAGTTGCTTGACAATATGAACAAAAAATGATTTGAACATACTTGACAAGCCAACGGACCTTATTATCCAACATTCTGCGCAACCTTATCCAGTGACTCCAGTCCCTCTCATGACGTTCCCTGCTGAGTTCGACCACACGCTACACAAAACAGAAGAGACTATTAGGACCTTTCTCTTCCTTAACAAAGGACAAAGATATAAAGATGCAAAAATTACTGTAAGAATAAAAGTTCACCTGTTGCTCGCGCTCATGAGATTCTCTTTCCTCTACCAGTCGCTGCTGATATGCAGCTTCAATCAAAGGGGCGGCCTCTTCTCTCTTTGCTCGTTCCAGATAATCCATAGTTTTGAAAAGTTTCTGCAGCTTCTTCTCCATTTCTTGATCTTCCTTGCGCTTCTCACTTATGGCCTTCTCCAGCAACGCCTGAGTTTGGAGCTCCCTCTCCTCTGTTTCCCTCACGATTCTTTGTCTCCTCCTCTCCTCAAGCTCTGTTGCAAGTCTCTTCTGTTCCGCCTCCTCGGTTAGCTTCAGAAGCCTAAGCCTTCTCTGTTCCACTTCAAGAACCTTCAAAAAACACAAAACAAACAACAGAGACTTTGTCATCAAGCGACTCAATGATAATGAAGAAGTATGAAATGATGCTTCAACTCATGTATGAAAAAATACCATCTCTAATTGCTGACGTTCTTGTTCCTCCTTCCTCTGTTCAATGATTAATGTCCGAGCTAGTGATCTTTTGTGCTCTTCTTCTACAGTCTCCCCAAGATTAGGCACTATATCAACAAGCTTTGATGCTTTAATTGTAGCGGGATATAACATCGCTCGTACTTTGTTCATCGTCTCAGCAAAAATAGACAGAGGATCTCTCAGCACATCAGACTCAATACCCTGATACACAAATAGTTGAATGAATGAAAACAACATCAACCAAAACTATCAAACAGTTCGATTAAAACTACTCAATCGCAGAATGGGACCAGAGAGGCTCACCAGAGTTCCAAAAATCACAACACCTTTCACATGATCCACTTTCATCGCCACAAAATTGTTTTCCACAGCGTCAACTGATATCTTCTCAACAGCTGAGAAATCGAAGAAAGGGACCAGCAGAGCTAGATGCTTAATACTTATCGTCTGGTACATCTTAGACACCTGAAAAAGAATTGTAACAGACTTGTAAAGCACATGCAGAAATATATATACACAACAGGGTCAAAAACATTAGTGCATTTACCTGTTGAAGCAGTCTCAGAGTAGCAAGCTTCTCCAGCGAGGGAACATATTGGGAGAGGTGTACTTCCGATAAAGAAGGAACTGATGTCAGCTTCCCACCGAGTTTGGCGATTCTATCCAACAAAGGCTTAATCTTGGAACCGAGATCAAGTGGATGATTTTCATGCTCCAAGAGATGGTAAAGATCTTTGACCTCCTGAGTTGCACAGCTCAAAACACCTTTTGAAACCTAATTGAGGATAAATTAGACTCACATCAGATCAGCACAAGAAAATGTCAAAGAGTAAACAATGTCAACTACGAAGCAGGGCTGCTTAGAGACTTACCAGCTCTGACAGAAGTGATTCTCGAGAAAGCTGAAAATAGAACAGATGAAATTAGAGAAAGCAATACGGAAACAAAGGATGTAATATGATAACAGCAAAACAAACTAATTAATGTTTACCATATCTCTGCCCTCAGATTTAGGTTCAAGATTGAACCCTATGAGGTTGGCCATCTTCAAATTACGTTCTTTCTCATTTTCAAGTTCCAAATGGGATGCACCGCGAGCCTGACCATACGGTGGAACAGATAATGCCGCCAAGACAACAGATGAAGCTATTAGCTGCAAGTCCTTCAGGCTCAAGTTCTTGTTGAAACTCTTCTGCAAGCTAAACAGCTTAGACCATGCATAAGCATGGTAAAGATGGCTTGAAGAAACCCAAAAGATCTCAGTCAATTTGGAATAATAGACCACCAACAAAGACGCCTTGGGCGTTTTCTTCACCGTGCACATCAGTCCATATATATCTTCAACAGAGCGAAAAGCTTCCTGCCATAGTCCAAGCTCAGTAGCAACTTTTAACTGCTCAAATCTTGTGTCAAGGTAAAGTTGCAAGGTCTCAGGCGCCGTCAAATCAGGCCGGTCCCTCTGGTCTCGGTACTTGTAAAGGTTTGCCAAATTACTTCTGGTAATCTCGCAAAGCCTACGGAATTCAGTTGGTCTTGTATACTGCTTACAGAACTGGAATGCGTGATGTGTTGCCATCTACAAGATAACAACGCACAGTGAATCAACTAGAAAATCAAATTAAAAAAAAAAGCTAACAAATGTAATGTCCACGATGATACTAACCGCAGACAATGCTTGCAGCTTCGAGTTGTTCCGCAGTATATCAATAACCGTTCTGTAGGTCTCCCACAAAAACTTGAACCACGGTGTCGCCGACCCATCTTTATCCTTCTCTCCTCTTACAACACTCATCTGTAAATCTTCAGGCTTCTTATCAGCTTCAAGGTCATCGACATCGAGGGCCTCCTCCTGACAACGAACCTGCTCAGCTTTCTCGGTAGCAAGGCCCACGAAGTGCTTGGTCACTTCTTCAAAGGAAGTCGCATTCAATTGCTGGCAAGAATTACGGTATTGGATCAGTCCATCTTTGGCAAACTGGCCATTCCTCAACTCAACACAGAGTTCCAAATATCTAAGCATAATCTTTTCGTGTGGCTTCTGCCAAGATCTGAAGCTCCTTGAGTTAATGAGATCATGAAGCACCTGGAGAGCAGCTTGTTTCTGCCCAAGCTTGATGAGTTCTGCAATCGCGCAACACCACAATCTCAACTCAATGGTGAAACAAAAGACTAAAAATTTCATGAGCCAAAAGGCAAACAATGTGGAACTTACCATCAGCCCGCTTTAACGCATTCTCCGGATTGGAAAAAATCGCCATGATTGAATTTGAGACAAAAGGGTTTAACCAGAACACTCCTACGAAACCTGTAAAAACGATGGCTTTCTATGAATATCATCCAAATCACTAATTTAAGAAAAAAGATTGAAAAAACTAAAATTAGTTGATGCTTAATGCAGAATATAAGATAAAGTGTTCAGCTTTATGAGGCATAAGCAAGCAACGATCTCGCTCTAAACCCATAATTCAATTCATAGTATCAAAACTTTTGACGGCGCAGCAGAAAACAGTCAGATGATTTGATGCAATTGCAAATACTTGCGAAAGCTACAACTAGCGTGTGATTCAAGACTTACAGGAAATCTCGGTTCTTGCTCTGGAAATAGGACGCGAGTTCTGAAACAATAGACAGTCTGCGAATACTCTCAGCAGTGCATAGATAGAAAAGAGTCTTACAAAAACCTAAGAGACACCTAAATAAATAAGAAAAAAAGGAAAAGTAACTAAAAAAAAAAAGGAAAACTAGAAACTTATCGAACACGTAAAAGCTCATTAAGTATCCGATAGAAAAGCCCTTGAAAATCTCAAAATTAAGACTGCAAATAAATGTAAATAGGCTCTCAATCATCACGAATTCGACCATAAAAAACCAAAAGGCTGTATAAATAAATAAAATCTCTTAAATTATTTGGACAAATGAAAAACCAAAGCTAACAGCATTCTGCTTCAAATAAAGTAAAGACGTAACAGTATAGAAAATATTCACTTCTCAGCATAAGAAAAAGGAAAAAAAAAAAAAAAAAGTCTTCCCACATCAAACTTTTTGTCACAAAAAGGCAAAAACATCAGCTGTAGCTAAAATCATTATGTACGAGAAATAAGTGATCCTCTGATGACTTCTTCTCATGGAGGTCGAATAAGTTTGTTCACAGCCGTGTCAAGAACATCCACATTTCTCCTCAGGTGCTT